CCCTTGGCTTGCTGATGAACTCAGATATATATTTTAGAAAAATACTTCTAAAGATTTGAAGGCTGAGATTTACTTACGTCTGATGCTTGTGTTTTACCACACACACGGCGCACAAAAACTGTGGGACTTCTGAGCTGACTGTGATTTTATAACGTTAAAGTTGTTTAATTAGCAACTGGGCTGAAGTGACAAATGCTGCTGAACTTGTGACCTTCACTTCCTAAGTCAATTCATGAGTGCTGGCTAAACTGTTAAAAACAACACTCATCTTAATTCCTTCTCACTCGACCTGTGCCTCTCTCACAGAAGCAGGTGTTTCATTATGCTACATCACATAAAACACGTTATTCAGATACTTTCCGGAGGCATCCATGTGTTTGCTCTCCTTTACGACGCAAAGATGAAAGCGCAGCTTTTTGACCCATTTCATCCCCCAGGAGCTGGTGAGCACCCACGTTCAGAGCACAGCTTCTTAGGGTCGAGAAGATATTCTCCCCTGGGTCTCCTCCTCGGCAAACCTCGGAGAACCACGGCCAGTGGCGTCCCCACTGACTTCATCATGTTGTGCTCCACCAAGGCCATCTACAAGGCTTAATCCATGGTACCAGAGTTTCCGCGTGTAACTGGGAGGTTAACTATAAGCAAAATCACCTTCAGTCCAATAGCGGAGCAAGGCTGTATCATAAACAACAGCTTCCCAGGAAAACAGTCCTGCTGCCTTGTTTTTCCTCAGAAGTGCACCAAACCCTCACCACTTTCCTCTGTCTGCATTGTAAAAATCCATAACCAGGAGGTAAGGAATTTGGTTCAAATACAATTATCTCAAAAGCAAAAAGACTCAATCAGTCCATTATCCAAGGACACATCTGTGTGCGTGTGTGTGTTAAAAATGAAGCATTATTCTTCATGTTTTATTTTCGGAGTTCAATATTTTACATTTTTCTAGAGCTGCATGACCTCCCTGATGCCTACACACTCCAAGCAGCCACAACTCTCAACTCCAGCAAACGTGGTATGAAAATGAAAAATAAGAAATGAACGAAGATCCCACAATTTAGTAAATGAGCAAAGCAGAATTGTATAATTTTGAAGCATGGATCCAGCTAACAATTTGAAATATTCCATATTAAAATACACAGCTGTGCTCAAAAAGCTCAAGTGGAAATAAAACAGAGTGGAATATTTTCTATTAATCACGAAGATGCCCTTAAAATATGTTAGAAAATACTAAAAAATAATTTTAGTGTCCCTGTAACTTCAGGACATTTTATGTAGCTCAATTCTTCAAAGCTAACATAAAAAGCACAAAATATCATCCTATCTAAAGTAATTTCGAGTAATGAAATATAAAAACATTATAAATCTATTAAATATTCTACAGACTTTAAAATGTCCATCAACAGGGTTGTTAGAAGCTCAGTGTCTTCGAAACACGAAACTGCACAATTTAAGTGGTGTAAGAGCATAAGAGCTTTTTAACATATCCTTCTTTAAAAGAGGAGCACTTAAATTTCAAGCTCCCTAGACAGATTTCCCAACACCTGAAGGCACAGTCCCTCCTTGAGTTAAAAAATAACAATCAATCCTTTCTTTCTTTCTGCTCAAACTTCTACTTCAAGATGCCACATTACAGGTCCTGCAGTCCACAGAAAGCTGAGCTCAGGGCGCAGAATTACCATCATGGAGAGGTACTCAAGCTTCACCAGCTATTGCTGATTATAAGCAACTAAGGGAAGAAAAAAAAAAAATACAACCACCGTACTGTCTGTTCTCGGTTTCACAGGTACAGCTATGGGTTAAAGCCTGCATGGGTCACTCTTAAATTACTAAGAATTATGGCAGATGGTTTATTACAACAAGCAACGTGGGTGGTAAGAGTCCTGAATGCCACCTTTGCTCATTCTGCACAAACATGTAACAGGATATATTCATTTTTAAGAAAAACGCCAGAATCAGAATTGTTCCAGTCTATTTAATTAGGTCATACACCTCAATGAACTCTCCTTTGACAAAAGCCCAAGAATCAATAAATTATCCCCATATAAAAGACTATATCACTTCTGTAGGCCCAACACGCTTCCTTTCCTTCATGTTTTTCATAAGGCACCAAGATAAATGTTTATTTTGGATTCCTGGGAAAAAGTCTGCCTTTCCCATTACCTCAATCCGAACAGAACACAACGTGGACTCAAATGCAGGGACCTCAGAAATTAAAAAGCAGAAATTTTCTTTTTAATCAATACAGGGGATATTATCAACAGGCTTCCAGAAACCACCAGAATTTACCTGTGTTTAATTTACCCTCGCTAAAGCAATTAGTATAAATATTACAGCGTGCACAGCTCCATAAAAAGGATCATTCACAGGACATCCATTTCCAATATCCATACTGTTGAGGGCATTGGAAATGCCTAACGTCTACTGCGTTAAAGAGGTGGCATGATTTTTTTTCCCCCCAGTGTTTGAGAAGTTCATTTCTAGAAACAGGATTTGATTGCTTTTATATAGCTTCTCCTTTGTTTCCACGTTTAAAATTAACAGTTTTTAAATATGAAACAAATTAGAGCAAACATCCATCAACTAGCTAATAGTTTCTACAGCCCCTTTTAACAATTGTGTTATGTCCCATTATGGAAACAGACCCAAGTAATCACAGTTTTATTGAGCAGTACCATTTCCCTCCCAGATCTTTCTATGGCTAGGACAGGACAGAAACTTCATTTTGGACAAGTAATTTTGATACATTCGATGCAAAAACAACAACGTGGGCTTTTTTATTGTACAAAATATTTTCTGATCATAAAGGGTGTTTTCTTTTCCTGGTTTTTACAGAGTCTGCATTTTAAGCAGATTGTAACTATCCACCAGGGATCACCATAAGAAACTCTTTCACAGAAACAGAGGGGAAAACGGTAAATGTTAAATCACTTCAAATGAACAGGATGCTTTTTCTGCTTATGCCAGGTACTGAGTTCAGTAGCAGGCCAAGGCAGAGACATGATGTTCTTTGCTGCTAGACTCACCAGAGTTAGGCTGACCTCTTTCACACTTGGAAGACACCAAAAGACAAAAAAAAAAAAAAGGTTGCTCTTTTTAGGGCAGGGAGCTGGAGATTCCACGCACACACCCTTCAGTTCACATTTGACACCTTTAAAAAAGAGCTGGAATTTTCAGACGTGGGTAAACATCCCACCTCAGCCCCCTGAGCCAGCTTGCCTTCCTTCCCGGTAACTTTGTGCTGTGGAGAATAAAACCTCACGTATTTGGAGCAATGTTCAGCACGCTAAGCAGAATCCTGTGAGCCTGACCACACACACACACACACCACGAGACAACTCTAGCAGTAATTAATGAGAGCAGATAGCATTAATTCAGCTGTAAGAGCATATTGGGTGCCAGTCCTGTCCCATTTTCCTTTTCTTCCTACACTGTTGAAACTGTGGGTCCACAACCTCCTTTTCTCTTGAAACAGCAGCCTGTTTCCTGTCCCAAATTTGCAATCCTCACGCTCCTTGTGTAAACCAACTGCTTCCACACCAGTCTGTGCCCCAGGAGAATATCCTAGCCAGATCAGTTGATAAGCTTCTTGAAATACACGAAAATCACCTGCACGGTCTCCTACACCACACAATTACTACATCACTGATAGGCTGCATCCCTTCCTGGGGATGGAAACCACAGCTGCCTCGCTGCACTTTTGTACATGCTTTCTGTTTAACATATCCATCTGCTGTCTCATGTTGTATTTATATTATATCCACAGGAGAGAACATTTGTGTTTTTGTGTGCAAAGGCCACAGCAAAGGAGCCATGACACCAGCAATATCACAAGAGTGACAAAAATCCCATTCCTGTGTTCGCAGTTTGTAACACACTTACTTGAGGGCCACATTTCTTTTCTGAGAGTTGTTACTAAGAAGCTGTGGTCTTCAAACGTGAGCCTCTTCAAGACACCTAACTGGTGGGACACACAAATACATATGGTTAACACGTCACACTGCTAATTGCATTGACTGGAGGGGACGCACAACGCTGCCCAGCTGATGGATTAATGTAAAAATCAATGTCCTGAAGAACTTTAAACAAACAGAATCAGCAACGATTCTGTTTGTTCTAAGCTTAGAAGTACCTACTTAATTTACAACATCTGTAATTAGGGTTAATATGGTCCAGGTGCTAAGCCATTTTAATATCACTTGTTCCTAGCACAAACCTCAAAGCTGCTTTTCTGAAGCCTACGAACTGCATTTGGTAGTGTAAAGATGGGAATTCCGTGATCCCACTTGCTTAAACTATTTAATAACCTGCCTATATTTTCCACACATCAAATAAATGAAGTGGAATACAAAAGGTACCATCTGTTTCTTTCTCTGTTTAACATAAGAGGATTACATTCTAAACAAATACATTTAGGAATTCTTTTTAGGAATTTGTTAAGCTGAACACAGCTAATCAAGGCAGCAAAAATCTTGTGTATTACCAGAATGACCTCTTTGTTTGACCTGAAAATCGTGTATATTATTTTAAGTTTCTGCACATGCAAAATCTATGTGATGAAAGTCCCACTCTTTCTTTTTTTTTTCTTTTTTTTTTCTTTTTTCTTTTTTTCCTCCCTCTTCGTTTTCTTTATTAAAACTTCTTAAAAAGCAAACGTATGTTGGAGAAACTCAGCACAATGAAGGTTTCAGATGAATGTTTTTAACACAAATAAGTTCTCTTCTGCAATCAGCAGTTAGAAGCAAAGGGGTGGAACATGCCCATGAGTGCTACACTTTGATTAAGTATCAAGTCAGCAGCTTCACCTAATTTCTAATTGACTAATCCACAATAAATCAGGTAGATCCACTGATCAGTTGAATGTTGAATATTGGACTTTATAAAGCATCAGCCAAAGGATCCAGTGCTCAGAATACAGATATATCCTCTTCTCCCTTCATTTTCTCAACTTGCAGAAAAACAAGGTTTTAAAGACTAATGAATATAACTGGGAAAACATTTCATTTCTTTTATACGTGTTGAATAGTTTAAGAAAACCATGGAAGATAAACATTCTTACTGACAGACACGAGGATAACCTTCAGCTGTAATTTCCCAAAGCAAGTATTCTTTCTAGTTTTCACTGGAATTTAGTTACCTTACTCCAAAATGCAGAAGTAGAATCACATTTTACTCTTCCATGCATAATACATTTTGGAATACTGTTGCATACTGATGTAGAAGATATTTCTTCTGGAGAGTTTGATGGAAAACAAATTAAACAAAAGAGCTGACAGTCTGGGGAGAAATGGTCAAATCTCAGACTGATACTGTTCCCAGCAGACTGCAGAGCTAGACCTGGCACGGAACATAGGGCTATTTAACACAACACGCTGGCCAGAGTTCGCTGACCCATTCTCACAGTCCCAGCAACTTAACGGGACTTGGTTCCACTTGCCTGCCTGGAGCACTTGGCAGGAATACACCACTTGAAACTCTTCTTTCTTTTTAATTACTTTTGCTGCCTCTCCCCAAAGAGATTCCACAGACCACTAACTATCCTTCCCAAAACCGCTGCTCTGCTCTCTCACAGGAATAACTCCCGTCGCTGTCTTCTTGGGATCTCAGGAACGTCTAGGTCACGCATAAGCATGCCAGACCCATACCTGCTACACGCTGCATGTCCGGCCCCTGAAAGACTCCTAGAGACAACATCACATTGGAAATGTTTTTTTGTTGTTGGTATTTTTTTTTTTTTTTTTACATTTACTTTATCCCACATCACAGCATCTCTATCCTCCAAAATAAATCCCCAGAACTCAGTATTCTCTCCAGCTCATGTTTTCTGAGCTATATCTGTCAAGTCCCAGGCACCAGCTCTGAGCATTTTTAATCACCTTGTGCACTGATTTTCCCTCTGCTGTCAGGAAAACTATGCTTCTCCTCTCTCGATCACGACAACTTCTTCGACATAATTTGAAAAGCAGTAGCAGCAAGGAAACCTAATGCAGCAGCAGCCAGCTGCTTGGATATGAGATCAGATGATATTCCAGGAGCTTACTGCTGTATGTTGCACGTGACAGACCAGGAAGTCAGCAGGTTTTTTTTTCCAGAATTAGTCGCCCATTATCAATGCTGCTAACACAGATCAGTGCTTCAAAAATGCAACAAAAGACAAACGAGGACTGAATGAATGTTTTAGACACTGAAACCTGGCAATGGGACTAAACAATGATTGTACGTGGACACAATTGTCCACGTGCATTTAAAAAAAATCTAAGGGGTTAACAGTGAGTCGTTTTAGTTAATAAAAATAGGGGGGAAAAAAAGAGAAAAAAAGTTCAGTACAATCACCAGAGGAAGCTTCCCGAGCACGAAATCCATGAGGTTTTGTAAATCCTCCCCATTGTCCCTTTCTACGTCCAGTGCTCAACCTGACAGGACACAATACAGAACAACACAGCCTTCAGTACAATTCTGTAGTGGCAGGAAAAATCACGAAATCAACTACTATTGCCGTCCCAAAACTTAGCCTGGAGATTGATGATGGAACAGCACCACCTAGTTATAAAACCAGGAACAGGAACAGCTGCATCTCGTGTTCTCACAAGTGCCAGCTCAACATACACTCCAGTAATGAGCTTTAGAGCTACTGCATAAACACAGCAATATCACCTTTAAACCCTTCTTTTCTCCAAACAGCTATATAAAGACAGAACTTACTCAGCAGGCAAATTTTCACATCAGACATTCATTAGAAATAGCCAACAGCACTTAAATGATCAGTACATAGGCAATACAAGCTGCGTGTTTATAATAAATGGTACATAATTCAGCAACTTAGACAAAGCTGTATCCGTTCATAATGGATTATGGCCAGGAGAACCAAAGGTGTTTTCCTATTTTAGAAATAATTAATTTTCTTCTTTAATCTCAGCCCTTACAATATGTGAAAGGGATTTTTGTCAGCCATGCAGGCCTGGATCTCAGACAGTCTCAAATTTCAGATAGGAAGATACCCACAGCTCTGATCTACCTCCCTGTTTTTCTCAGCATGTTGGGGATGGCATGAAAAAGGCTGGTTTGTGGGACAGCATAACCTACTACTACTAAACAAGAAAGCATACGGGAATGTCTCTATATAAGAAAAGTGTTAATTTTACCTTCCCAAAACTGCAACCCTAAAAAGTTATGGCTGTGTCACTTCTGCTGCAGATTGCTAGAAGCAATTATGAAGTAATTGCTTCTGAAGAATGAAGAACAAGTTCTAGATAAAAATATTTTTTAAACAGCCTACTGTCTACCACACTTTCAGTCCCTCAGGGACTTGTTTTTTTCCAGCTGTGCATTTTACTCATTGCCAAATAACTATATTTGATAAAGTGAAAAGAGACAGTGAAATGGTCAAGGCTTCAAAACGTCACTACTGATTTCAGAGAACTATTTGAAAGAGCTTGATACTCAGCGCTGTGAGAAGTTTAACTCTTGAGGTCTGAGTCATGGCACCTTATCAAACTGCAGCGTGCCAAATCATGGATCATTCCCCCCCAGAAAAAGAATATGGTTGGTAAAAAAAAAACTACAATACTGAATTAACATTAAAAGAGATGTGCAATTGAAGATGTAAGAGTTCTTGAAAAGTATTTGCCTTTCCAAAATGTGGTGTATCTGTCTGTATTTTTATAACAGCATTCTGAACTGCACTCCTCAACGTCTCCTCATCAGCACAAACTACCTCATTGATTTAAAAACTTGCCAAAGGGTCAATGGACCAAAAAACTCAATCTAACAATGCTCCCTACCTTTTGCTGCTTCTTGCAACATGAGCTTTGCAAAGCTGAAAGGGCAAAAGCTTTCCAGTTGTGACAAGAAGACATTAAAATCTTGAGTATTTCAACCATTTGCTTTTTTTTTTTTTTTTTTTTTTAAAAAAAAAAAACACTGCTAGACCTTTTCTAGATCCTTTTTAAGCTGTCAATCCCCTCCCCCCCAAAGGGGAAAAAACAAAACAAAACAAAAAAAATCATAAAAGCCATACACCCCTAGTTCTTTCCCTTTCCCAACTGCTGGCTGGGGAAATAAAATAACATCACTTCATAGATTCAGAGTGTAACATTGGGGTATGCTAGATGTTACTAGGGTAACATCCAGTGATATGAAAACACTCTATATGGTTAACTGCACCAGAGGTCTTATTTTTTTAGGCAATGATAACAGTTGTCAGGCAACAGGACACTGTTCTTCATATGCCTAGAGGACAATTAAGATTGAAATAATAATGCTGCAGCTGTACAAATGTAAAGTATGTCCTACTACATCTAGGGCAAGGCTGAAATCAGCAGACTTTGTTCTGGAAAAAGAACAGGCTAAAGACTACCTGAAAAAGTTCTGGATTTTATTCAGCGTTTCAGTAAACACAAGAAGTCAAGTTGAGAAAGAGCACAACGCAGAGAATGTAAAGGATTGAAGGAGGAAAACAGTGGTAACACGTGAGGGAGGTAAGTTTGGTCAAAAATGGAAAAAAAAATCAGTAAGGGAGAGAAAAGGTCATTATTACAATATTTGATATTCATTATTCTTTAAAGGCCGTTACCATCTTACCCTCTCTGTTGTCTTCAATGATTTTGGTGATGATTCATAATCCTTCTTTGTTTCTAAGATCTTTTTTACAAGCCCACCTGGTGAAAATCAGTACATTTCTCAGCATTGGTTGACACTATAATATTATCCAGAATATTCAGACAACATTAAAACCTACATGAACAGCATTCTGTTACATATTTTAATTACTCAGATACAAGGTATTTTTTGATCTATTTTCTCCAGTATCTTTTTATATACACATACATATGCATATACATATTCCTTTGATAGGATTTTTTTGATACAGATAAATATGTCTGCCTAAGTTACCAGTGTAACCATAATGGATCAAAGCCTCTGAATCAGAGATCTGAGGTCACGAGAAAGTATTAATATTTTTAAGAACCAATATATCATTTTTTCTAGAAGCTTTTCCATAACCTGCATTCAACAACCAATCCCATCTCCTATCTCAGAGAGATGTATACAGTGAAACTGCATTTGACATCAGCTGTAAATGCTGCTGCTCAACTAAACAACATGGTATTTGATAAATATTTCCTGGTTTTCTTGCAAAAGTTGCAAGCTACTGTCCCTTCAAGAAGTTATCTTGCTACTGTATTCAGCCTATTTAGTGCTCAGCACTTGGTTTAAACTTGTGGTTTTATTCTATACATTTATGTATACAAATATATATAAAAGCAAACACACATACCGTGCTTTTCACCCTCGACCAGTTCCACTTCTGGCTGCTACACATGCAGGAAAGAAAGCTTTAGTTGCAAAAAGTTGATATTGCTGTAACATATAACTAGTCAAAGAAACATTTAGCTAGAAGCTACATTAAAAAAGAAAGCTATGAAGTGAGGATAAAGGTGCTATAATTGCAACATTAACAGACCATTTCCATCTCTGGCATTTCAGGCACTGGCGGGGCTGCCTCCACCACAAACTGGTCATCATCATCATTAGAAATCTGCTGGTCTGTGATCACATTTGGGACTGTTTTACCACTGCCACTCCTGAAAGGGACAAAACAAAAATGAAAATCTATTAAGATTTGTCCAATCCCATTAAGATCTATTCAGAATAAAGGAGACAGCAGCTCTCTCCCTTCCTCCCATAACATAAAGCAGCACGTAAAGTTCTGTCATTTCCAGTCACAATCCAATTCTGAAAACAGTCAGTCATCCTCCTCTCACAACAGGACATTACTCTTCTGGACACACTGCTTTAGTGCTCAGGATTTAATAGAGGTCACCCATAAGCCATTTTGGCCATCATTTCAAGTGGCTGTTTCAGCCTTTTGGAGCATGGGATATTCACTGTATGTTTTACAGAACTCTTCTAGTAATAGCTTAATGTTCTAGCCTTACCTGTTTCAGAGTTCCCAAAGGCAAAAAAAAAAAAATGTATCTTTGAACTTGCAGATGTGGCTACTAACTGTAACTTTTAGATAATGCACTGGATTTGCAGAAACAGTAAACAAATAAAGCAGGCTTGAATTTTCTAATCTGAATCAATGAGCAGTAAGGTGATCCCCCGCTAATGCTATACAGGGGCAGGGGATGGAAAGAAAATATAATGCTGTGGCATGAGAGCTGGCAGTCTGCTCTGCCACCTCTCACGTTCCTTACCTTTCTGGAAGTAAGGCCTCTGTGCTTTCTTGACGTTTTACTATTCGAGGCGGTGCTGGTCTCGCACTGCTGGGACGGGGAATACGTCTGCAAGAACAGAGATCTTTCCATTTATATTTTAAAGGGAAGCCTCATGTGTCCCCCAGAGAGACAGACATGCACATACAGATGAACTTAGTAATTTAGTTGATGCATAAAAACACTCAAAACATTCACAGTATATAATCCAATATAGTAATATCTTCTATCCTAGTGGGAGTCTAGGAAAAATCAAAATCTAGGAAGTGTGACCTTAAAGAAAAAGATTATGATTTTGTGTAGAACCACCTCTTGATTTGTATCCAGGTTATTTTTTTAGTGAGACAACAGTAATTTAGCATTAACAACAAATTTAGCATTAGAAATACATGCTGCGTTGCAAAAGGAAAAAAGCGATACAATTGCAATAGCCTTTTTTTGGGCAAAGAAAAAGTAAATTGGGATTTGAAAGTCAAGTTCATCTTACCCTTAACACAATACTTTGGAAATGCATCTGCATAATGCAATGTTCTTCTCAATAGACACTCCACACATCCCTCTTTCTTTAATAAGATTGCATCAAAGCACTTCATGGATTATGAAAATAAGTCCAAAACACTTTAAAATGTTAGTTTTGTATATAGAAGGAAAATAAACAAAATGAACCATATATGGGATAATATTTATTATTTGGTACCACAAGCAGAAACATACTGTTCAAAGTTTCCTCACTAATTTCAAATTCACTGAATTACCTCCAGACACCATCACAGCTTTATTCAGACAGAATAAAGAAAAGAAACAAACCTTTGGATAGCCTGAGGAGGAAGATCATCAGGTACTTCACCATTTTCAGACACTGCAGGCTTTTCAGGAGCAATGTTCTCTGCTTCTTCTTCTATTAAATGAGAAAAAAAAAGTGTAATTTTGGCTTAGCTGTCAAAGTTGCAAAAAAAAATCTAACTTTTCTTTACAACAGTACTTCAAATCTTATCAGCACTATAATTTATGCTAATGAAATAAATCATATGACAAACTTTATAAATAAAACTCTATTTGCTTATATAAAAGTTAAATACCTTATGAATTTCTAGGTTTTAGACACCTCAGAGTATTCACAATTCAAAAGGGACACAGCAAAAACGTTTAAACTTTCATTTTTTATTTGTTTCTCAATATCATGAAATTCCCTCATATGTTTAAATGACATCATCTCACTTGGTTCTTTCATAATTTCATGGCAATGTCTGCAGTATTTCAAGCTGCTCATTCTACAAAGTCACGAGAGGAAAAGAAAAAAAAAAGATTTTAAAACTGTATTTCTACATTGATTTTTTTAAAACCTTGATTTTATTTACATTAATTTAACTCCTTATTTTCCTTTATTGTTGGTCTTAGTTGACCCTGACCTGAACAGGGCTGAAATGGAGCAGCTGACCTCCAACAACCCCTTCCAACCTGAAGGACCCTATGGCTGGAGGATGAGTGTGTATTCTATCATCCCTCCACTCTGATGTTCTCTGTAGGGCTGACCCATTTGCTGTTGAAACTGGACAGACGATGCAGCTGACAACATGACCCCACACCTTCCAAGCTCAGGTTGGACCACCCTCCACAACAGCTGAGAAGATAAATGCCTCTTTGCCCTGACAATCTAACTGAGCAGGCATCATTCACCACTTTCTGCCTTAACGTTGCTACAAAATACTTATGGTAGGTAAAAAGCATTTGATATCCTTCAATTCCATCTAGAAAACTTGCTCAGATGAACTACCTGTCAGTAAGCATTGTTCCTGTGTAATGCCACACACACAAAAGACATCTCTAACACTATTTCTCCATCCTAGCATCTCTCAGGTCTGAAATCACCAATGAATGGCACCAAAGGTCAAGTCACACTGACTTCTACAGGCCGAAATCTGGGTAATGAAAGAGTTTTCTTTCTCAAACTCTTGTATTCCAGCTCCCTAATGTGTTTGTGTGTTCTCTGAACAGCCATTTCACTTGTAGGACCTTCACATTTAAAACTACTAAGTAGTTTGATACAGTATTTTGAAGAAACTTTATCTTTAAACAGTGTATTAATCCTACACACAGTCTACTGGAGAACATATGGAAGATACATAAATACCCTTACCTTAGAAAGCACTAGATGCACTTAACTAGTGAGCACTACTTTAGTTTTCCCTCACTCTTACTGGTATGGGGAAAGACAACTGTGCCTCACACGAGTGCTCCCTGCAGTAAGGCACCAGGCCTGAGTCCAAAGGGTTTGCCCGGTTGCTGGCTGTACTTCCTATACTTCCCAGGGTGGCTCAATTAACACAGCTGCCTAATGGGTGTGATAGGGGTTTCTAAATCCTCCTTCTGCACAGCAAAAGGCATTTTAGCACACGATGGAGATCACGAAACAACTACTAATGGCACAGCTTTACGTCTCGTTCTGAAACACCACCACGCATCCTAGACACAGCTGGTTCCTGCAGCTCTGTGGGAAGCTCCTGCAGTCCCCTCGTGCCTCTATACACACCTGACCCCAAGAAAAAATGCCTACAAGGATCCCTATTTCTGTTTTCAAGTCAACAACTACCATCAAGCAAGGAGTGCACACTGCTAAATAATTTAGCTTTTGGAACAGCAGCAGCTGTACCCAGGGCTTCTGCTGATTTCTTGCTCTCGCTGCACCTTGACACGTATCACGCTGACTTCACACAGACAGAAAGCCGATGGCTGACAAGAATCCTTCAAGAATTCAGCTACTGTGTGTTAAAAACCTCACTCCCCTGGTTCATCCCAGCTCCAATGATGCCTCAGCACGATGCTGCGACGTGCACAGAGCCGAGCCAGAGAGGCCCTGGGGCTGCCAGGGGATTTCTACGCTCACCCTTTGTTACTGGCCCAATTCTCCAGCGGTTGTGGGGAGTTTTGGTGGAATAAAACTTTCAGTTCTAATCCAAAAAGAAGCCACAAACAGGAGTAACAGAGAGCAGCAATGTCCCACACTAACATTAAGAAAATGGAAAGTGCACATTTTATTGAACTGGTTATTAATAATAATGACCTGTAACACATTGCAAGAAGCTCCTCACAATACCTGCTTATTGTCAAGTTAAAAACCATAAAGTGCTCATAAACCATTACTTTTTTTTTTTTTTTTCCTTAGCAAAGCACTTAACTGAAGCACTAAAGCACTTTCATAGATGGCTTTTTGGTATTCTTTTAACTAAAAACTACTTGAATAAAGTCTACTCAAAGTATGCAAACACAAATTGTATTTTTATTCAGTTTTTAAAAAAATCTTTAATGTATAGCATTAGAGGTTAAGAGTCCCACAGAAGTGCTTTATTTATCAAAAAGCACCGCTTTATTTCTACCAGTTTTTAGCTATCGTTGGTATGCTCACTGCTGGTCTTTTGTCACTATAAGCTCAGCTGATTCTGAGTCACTGGCAAATCCACCTGGAAATACCAAACACACTGATTTTTCAGAGAAGCTATATGAAATCCTTAAAAATAATCTGACCAAATGAGACATGAAAAATACACACTGAACTACAACCAGCTTCTCACTGCCAGAGCCAGGAGAACGGGGACAAACATGAGGGATTGTTTCCAGCAACTTGCACCGCAGTGCTACAGACATCAATGTTCTTCTGGTCATTAAGCAGATCAAACATCAGAAACAAAACGTTTTTAAGAAGCCAAAAGACAGTGGAGGATCAAAACATTTGCGTGGATAGAATATCTGAGCAGACAGTCCTGAAAGTTAAAGGAGCTGTGCAAAAAGGTACAATTGATGCTTGAAGAGGCAAAGCCATGCCAAACTACCTTGCACTGCTACAAGCACAGGGATTGCTTTCCCTTCAAGGAGCAGCTTACACAGTCCCCAAACATAAATTAAAGGTCCAGAGGAAATTCAGAAACAGCTCACAAGTTTATTTATTTATTTAGTAGCCACAAGTACTGTGCATGCTCTTGAAAACCCCATAGGAGAACGGAGTTCAGCTCCTCCCTGACTAACCTCCAAAGGCACAGCTGCTGGGGAAGGACACCAACCGCGGTTTTCAAGCAGTTTCAACACCCAGCTCCCATTTAACTCCGCTGGAATATAAATCTAATGCATAATTAATCAACCTAAATGCTAACATGGCCCAGCTGCACAAGCAACCGATGCAGTGCTTAAACATCTTGCAGGGACTGATGGATGGCATGCTTTGACAAACGGAGCTGAGTTTCAGTAGCTTCCTGAATGCTTTTGCAAATGTAAACTGGCACTGCCACCAAAAAAAATCCTGCTTCCATGCTTCCCACTCCTTCCTGTTAACACACACGTTCACACACTGCTTCAAGAATGGCCTCGACATGACCTGGTGTAAGGCGCTGCCCTCCCAGCGTCTGTGGAAAGGAGGTTCACATTTTGTATGGGTCAGGTGAGTGGCAGGAGCTGTGATGGCTCAGCTGAAGGTCCCGGCACCTCCTGAAGCTCCCCAAGGAGGAGCCCCCCCAGGCTCTGGGCAGCCTGTGCCAGGGCTGCGGCACCCGCCCAGCACAACAGTGCTGCCTGGTGCTCAGAGGGCAGCCTCCTGGGCTCCAGGCTGTGCCCAGGGCCTCTGGGCCTGGTGCTGGGCACCACGGGATGGAGCCCGGCTTCTCCTTCATTGCATCCTTTGGAAACTTTCATTTGCAGTTACAAGAATAATACAGAAAGAAGGAACAGATCACTTCTGACTTTATGCTGATTACTGCAAAAATATGCATTCAACTTAGCTATCTGCAATGACTGCTGTTATAAATTGTTGTGATTTTGCATTCCAATTATGAAAGCAATTTAATGTGTGAAAGAAATTTTCATTCCTGTAAGAACTTACAGAAAATTAAGGGTCACTAATGTACCAGTACTTTACACTCTTACTGAACAAAGCTGAAAATGCAACTTGTATTTTATACCACCTGAAAATCTGATCCAAATCAATAATGAACCTGGGGGTATTTCTCTCATACACATTCAAATTGGAAATACAGAAATAAAAAATTGTATTCCATAACAGATGCATTCCAATGGACAAGACAGCTCCAAAAGATAAAAGGAATTAGCATAGAAGTTCTCCCAGTTGTGTAAAGTCACGCAAGTGTCTTGGCCCACTGTCTACATTTCATTGGACTGACCCAGCTATGAGGCCCTAAAGGCCACAGGTGGACTGGGAAACAGCCTTTGACCTCCCACATACATGGCATCAACTCTCCTAACTAGGTCAAGCATCTGGATCTGGAGAAAATAAAAACACAGCTTTTTGCTTAAGTGTCAGTTCTTTCTCCTACATTTTGGTTCTATTACTCCGTGTATACTGTATCTGGATACAAATAACTCATTAACAATGTATGCCTTGGGAGCCATATACAACTTTAAAAAAAAAATGGAGAAGTAGGAATGCAGAGATGGAATTTGCCTCTAAAATCCTGTAAAATGCAAACACTGAGTGAGACTCCCAAACATTTGCACAAAAAGGCAACATGCAGTGATTCACTTCTTACAAAGAACAAGTCCCCAAGGGATTCAGGTGCATTTTTCCTTGGGACGGTGTAAACTGAGAACTTGCATAAGGGTAAGAAAGGATAGAAGGATACAAGACTAGCTTGTTTATCAGGGAACACACGTTTATCCAGCCAGGACATTAATCACAACAGTTGATTAAAATACAAGGGAGCAGTTGGATTGAGTCATTTAACTTAAATCATTTTAACTGCATGGATTCAAGCTTGACCCCAAAGCACTGTAGTTAGACTTTCAAAGGCAGGCAAGCTTTTATTCTTCCTACCATTCTGTTTGACTGCAAGTCCTGGTTCAGCTTTCTCTTGCAGTTTAGCAACATTGTCTTCTGAAATCCCATCTGCCACACTCTTCACTTCTATAGTTCCTAAAAGAAAACAGTTTACAGTTAAATGAAACCACAGATACAATAACAATTTTAAATAAAAAGCCCTGCTAAATACCTGTTAGACTTACTAGTTCTTTAAGAGCTACCCTACTTTAATAAAACATCTTGAATGCAAATAAATAATATCTAAAGTTCACAAAGGCTTTTTACATGACCACTGATTAAACTCCTTATGTTACTGCAAATTAAAGGCAATTTCTTCAACTGAGAACTGATTTAGAGGTATTTATTAGCCAAATAGCTAGTCACACAATACTGCATTTACCTAACAAAGACTAAGTAATTACTACAATACGCAGTGTTGTTTGTACTGCTACATGCAATGCACAACGCACTTCTGTTTGTTTCAAAGGGTTTTGCTTTAAATGCATTTCATACTAAAGCCATTAAGAAATTTCAAGCAAGAAAAGCTTATTTCCAGTATATTAATTCCACAACTTGCTGGTAATGGTATAGAAGAATCTAATCCATCACTTTTGATGCTATCTAAAATGGTTATTTTCACTAAAAAATGAAAGACTCTTTTATTTACCAATTCTCTTAAGTTAATTCTCCCAGAGAATTCTCTTCAGAAAGAGGAAGATAGAGGAATATATCTGCAGATACAGAGAGAGGGGTACCCAAAGTGCTGCCCAAGAGTTGAACTGAGCATTTCCAAGTCACCTTGTCTGCAAACAAGTAACTGTAACACAAGGGTAAAGGACAGACTCACTGTGCCCCTATCCTCAGGCCACATTTCCACCACCAGAACAAATCAGCTAATAGTGCTGAGTGCTCAGGAAAAGATTTGCCAGACAGAGGCCTGCCTAACACTTAAGGTTGAAGGGTCCAACGCTTCCAAAAGAGTGATGCAAGTACCACAAGCAGCGTAAAGCTGATATTTTCAGGACATACATATCGATAGCAGAGGATCTACCCATGCATCCATAATGCTGCATAGCCTGTTGCAGCAGCAATGTTGAGTTCTGCTTGCTTATGATAGAAGTAATACACAGCAGCAAATGGCCAACAGCCCTTTCATTTACCTGTGCTGACAAAGGCCAGGGTGAGGCACCACTTAATAAATCTGAAAGAAGCATTTAAAAAAAAAATCCTCTCCAGCCTATACAGCTGTGCCACAAGGCATCCATGAGGTCTGGAGCTTTGCAGAAAAGCCATCCCAACAGTGGAAAGTGAAGTCCTTCACTCCATCAGAAAGGCAGGGTTTAATTCAGAAACTTATTACATCATGCCATACATTAAAACAATTCCCAAGGCATCCGTTGTTGAAGATACTAACCTGCCACTGATAAACAGCTACTGGCAGAACGGGTACAGACTGTCAGAGAGATGTTGTGGGCTAGACAGATGACTAATGTGATTTCCCAGGGCAGTTCACACATTTCCTTCTGACAGTGTCCAATTACCCAGACAACTAGACCTGACATGACAAGCACTGCTTTCCCTTACTTGTAGAGCTGGCTCAGCTCTCTCTCTGGAGGCTGTTTGAGCATGTCATGAATTGTTGTTTGCTTCCCTTCTGCCTAATAAACCAATATACAGCGAGGTATGCACAACAGACAGCAGGCACGTGTGGTGACATCTCAAAATTAGCCACTGCGGTCCAGCAGGCTGGCAGGTTGCCACTGGGTTATTCCCCAAATTAGTTGTTTTAATTTCTCAGCAAAAAGACTCGGTTTGGCTCCCTCCTGAACATACAATATAACATCCCTGAGAAACCACTGCATAGGTCACAGACTGCAAACCAAGAGCTCTTTGCATTCAAAAGCTGGGTTTATAATAATGTACTGGGTCTGGTAAAACCACCACAAATAAATTCTCCTGGTTTTCATCTCACCCTCTTCTGTGGCATCAACCCTTACTACAGAACCAGCTTTTAATATTCATAGGTGGACATGCAAGTCTGTGGGCAAATTTCTTCCAATCCACACACGTGGTGTGCACACACACACCACGAGCATTATCTCCAGAAATAAGCCAACTACTTTCAGATGCACAATATTCAGTGTCTTAAAGCAAAGTTCATCAGATCTCAATTAAGAGCTATTGTAAGTTTAAAAAAAATATGTGTTTAATTTATAAATCAACTTTTAAATTAGCAAAAAAGATCTCTACAACATGAAAACAGCTTTGCTGCAAGGCATGTTGCAATTATGAAATAATTATGGCCTTAGTAATAACATTGACTATAAAAAAAATTGTTCTAATGCCACTAGAAATTTGTTCTTAATATATAGATGTGAGCAATGATGTTACAACTTGTTTTCATTACCAGGATAGCAAACATGCTTGTAATTGCTTAACTGTCCTCCATTTTCCACTTCAGTTCTGTTTATCTAATAGGATAAATTGGCATTCACTAGCCCCTTTCTGTTCGACTGGTATGCATGTAATTATCTCCAGTTAGGATTAGAAAATACAGAAAGCTCTGATCGTCATCATCCATCACTACAGAGAACAGTGAGCAACAGGCATCAGCACAGCTCCAGAGGGTTTTTGCAACCCTCTAGATTACTTGTTGGAGCATCTGAGAGCATTACTCACCTATTGCAACTCTGCTGCACTAGAACAAAAGAGGGTTAATGCCCCCAAGTGCTTATCATATAGGTAAACTGACATTTGAGTGCACCGGCCTGCTGCATCATGAAAAAAGGAGTATTTTAAAATATTTACCTTAAAGACAAAACACGGGATAAAAGGTAAATCACGTTTCATTTATTAGAATAACTGGATAATGATTTTAAAGAAGAAGAAATGGTCCCATAAAACATGCCATGTCTGGTCACTGTAGTTTAGGGCCGGTCTAGGCTATAAAGAAAATATTCCATTTTGAAAATAAATAAATAAAGTTGTAGGATCAGCTAAGGATCACTAAGTAGTAAAGTAAGACTACATTTAATGGAATCCAGATGGTATTTTTCAGCAACAAAATTATTAAAACCTCACAGCATGTAAGTACATGAGATGTGATATAAAATTTTCAATAACCACTAAGTTGACCTAAGCTCCTAAATAAACACTTGTTTATTTCGGAGCACACCAAAGTGCCAGAACATTTTAAGGTACTTAAGGTGCCTAAACATCTTTTTATTTTTTCTCAAATTCTTTTGAAGACATGACTATTGATTGTTATGAATACGGTATCTGAGCTCTAATACAGCTTCCCTATTTCAACACGGACATTTTTAAACCCACTGAAATGCAAGCCTAAAGAAAACATGCATTCTTGGGAAGACACACAGCAACACAACCTCTTTACATAAGGTAAAAATAGTGACATTGGGAAAGGGCGTGAAGATCCTCATGCTTCATTAGTCTAAACAGAATGAGTCTTTAGCCAAAATTAGCTCTTGTAATAGGTATCAGTTCACAGGTGTTATTGCATCTTCTGAAATGAGATGTTAAACTGATTTATGTACACTGACCCTTCATTAGGAACAAAATTTCAGCTGTCAAGGCGCAAGACCACTGAAAGAGAACTTGAACAATAGTAAATAACCAGGTCACTGACATACAAGTAAAAGGAAAAAGACACTTAGATACATATGGAAATTGCAATTATGCTGTCATTATATGAGCTCTGGTTATTAGCCACTTTTGTTCCTTACCTGTGTGCTTCTCTGGGCTCTTCCTATTGGCTTATTTAAACAACAGGCTAGCTTTACTACATTTAGATCCTTTTATTCCTGATGAAAAAGTTTAAGCACTCGGGATACTCTGAAGAGAATCTAGTTTCAAATTAGGATGCAAATACAGTATCAAATACACTTACTAACAACAGCTGGTGACATAATCAATTACAATCAATGAACCACTGTAAGAGATTATTTCCTTATTTGCAAGTCTATTTGCAAGTCTAATAGCACGACCATCTATTAGATTTAGTTAAAACCACCTCAAGACTAAAATCTTCACTTAAATCTTGTCCAGAGTCAACATGTGACCAATGAGTCGCAGATGAGCAGCGATGTTTCTTGATGATCATACCATTTGCATGGAGCTCCAGTGAACAAAGATTTGGAAGAGGTTATCATCCAAAGGCCAGTACAAACACCTGTACTCAGGCCTGTACTCCACACCTTTACAGCCTGTATCCATGTACTTCCTAACAAACAAAACTTCCTAACAATCTCACAGCACTGTTAGCACATGTGACAACCATGACAGACTTGGCACCAAAGCAAGGACACTACCACCAGGGACAACTCATGGCTGGCACGAGGTAGCCTTTTACCACTTCTCATGTCCTGCTGATAATCCCCAGGTACTAAATAAATATCTTGCATTCCTTCCCCTGCACTCCAAGCAGGAAAGCCACAGGGTTCGGTTCCCTTCTTACACGTGGCTAAGATACTGAGGAAGATGATACGAGACAAGGATTCAGCACTGATGACACCCAGACCACCTTCCCTGCTCCAGCCCAAACCACAAGGTCCCAGTCTGACACCAGTCCTAGTGCAATACAGTTGACCACACGGGCCAAAGTCAAAGTCTACCAACAGATGCCATGCTCCAAAACTCAAAGGAATCTTCTCTAATCAAAGGGGCAACAAGCCAGGGGTTTTAATTAACAGCTTATCTTCATCTGCTTTCCAGTTTACACATGGATTACTGCAAGTATCTCAAGTTATGGAAATTACTCAGAAAAAGATTTGGCTAGTCTTGAATTTACCCAACCACCTTTTCACTGAAAAAAGCCCAGAAAGTTGAACACAAAATTGTATGGTTTAATGTACAGCTTATCAAACAAATACATTGGGTAATTCCTTTCTGCATTGAACAGTAAAGAGTTAATTCAGAGAATGTGCCTTTTTTTTTTTTTGTCAAATACATCTTCTAATCTATAAAGCCAAGATTTCTAAAAACCAAACACATAAGAACTTCAGATACTTGACAAAGGATTAAGAAATTGAGAATATTAATTAAGTCTGAATTCCCTAGCCAAATTTAGGAAGCGCACTCTTCCCAAATATTAGAAAGTGATGAAGTTAAATATTTCAGGGCTCTTAATTATATGATTAGAACCTACAGAAAAGCATATCTAGCCTCACAAATTTCTTTAATCTTACTAAAACTATCTTAAACAACATATCATAAGTCTTAAATAAAAACATTGTGCTGGATATTGCTTTATTCTGAGTATTTAAGGAACCTTTACATGTTCCTTTAGGTAAAAGTAACATGCAATATTTTAGTACCTGAGACAATACTGTCCACATACCCTCAATAACAGAAGAGAAACAAAAATTAAGCCTCCTAAAGTTGTGCAAGGCACGTTTGTCTAACCTTGCTAGATTATGGAGCAAAAAACCATTTTTTTTGTAAAACTAATGGAAAAAGGAATAGCTGTAGAGCAATTAAAAGCACTTTCAGAGAGAAAACTATAAAAATCAAGACGAGGCTGAATTTATATCTGTAATTTTGCTCGCAGAAAACGACCAAACTGAACAAAGTACCACTCTCCACATACCAAATATATACAGAAAAATTGCCTATTGGGTTCATAAATGCAGACTGAGTAAAAACAAGCACTGAAAATAATAAACAAGGATATTTAAGTATTTATCCTGTTCCAGGGTAACAATAACCCTCCAGCATATTTAATAGAAAGAATATCCTTTCCCTAGTTACCTTCTCCTCCGGGTTTGGCGTGTTGCCTTGATCCTTTTGTTGAAGGCTGCCTTGATATTCCTGCAGGACTTTCACTCTTAAAAAAAAAGGCACAAAAAAATATATATTTTTAATATAGAAATGTATATATTTAGATATAAAATTTCATTACGTGTTGCTTTTCTGTCTACATTTATTATACATAAAATATACATAAAAATGATGCACACATTTAATAATATCTCAAGTCCATTTTCCTCACAAAAGTGCAGATGTTTTAGCTGGATACATGCTAGTTATATACATATTTTTAATGAATTTATATGATTCGATTTCACTATTGTAAAGACAACTTCCAAAAGAGAACTAAGCATCTTCAAGGCAGAGAGATTTTGCAAAACCTGCAGCACATGTGTGATGCCACTACTGGTCTTAGAGTGCTTCGCTATCAGTGAGCTACCAAAAGGAATAAAATGCTTAGCATCACCTGTGTGTTTGAGCTATATCAGACTCACAGTTCTTCTTTAATCTTCCAGAAAGTATTTTGAATTTATTTCCAGAACAGAAGTAGACACAAACAAAATCGTGACACTAGACTCACATAGACTTCTAGTCAATGGCAACTTCCCGGGACAAACTAAGAAACGGGACCTGTCAGAAGGACCAGCAAACAAGCAACGGATGACCTGAAGGAGCAAGCAGTACAAAGAGGATGATAACAGTTCAAAAGTGGAAATATAAAACTGAAGGAAAAATCAGGACATTCATGAGGACGCTGTCCTAAGTCCCAAGTGATTCAGAGAGGCCAGGAAATGAAGGCAGGCAAGCACACTCAAGTTTTTATTATTTTGTTTTCTCTGGATATAGCTTTCACTGCCTGAAGTTAAGAACAGCTGACTGACAACACTTTTTGCAAAGGCACCGTGTTACGTGCTTCAGTGGCCATAGGTCCTTGGAAAGGAGCAAGTTAAATCAGCAGGTGCATTTGGCTGGAATCTGGGAAGGTGATGTGCACGAGCTGCAGCCTCTCGAGTGATGAGAGCAGCACAGGTTCTAGGAGACAAAGCCACAGGGGTCCTCAGAGACCCGATGTGTGAATGGATAACTGAGCCTACACTCAACATTTGTTGTTAAAAAGGATGCAAACACCTCTGAGAACAACAGATGAAATACAGGTGATTTATAGAATACCACTTCGCATTTCTATGCTCTCTATTCCCTGTAATACATCCCCACATCACGTTCAAAATCCTGAATGTTTAGCACCTCGCTCCTTATCTGCTTTTTTTTTTTGTAATCTGTGTGAACTAATAATTCATGCAGTTTGCATTCAAGAACAGCTGCCAACTCTGCTGATAATGTTCATATTCATAACATGAATGAGAATTACATATTCTTCCATTTCTATGCAAATGTTAACATTATGTTCCAATAACACAAGTAATAGAAAACTGCCAAATTACACGATGTAAATGTAATGTTCATTTGCCATAATATCTTATATATATGACAATGTAATAGATATGCTGTAAGGGAAAATAATACTACAAAATGTTTCAAAATACAGGATACCAGTAAGGAAATTTACTCAGACTAACTTAAATGACCATACAGGAGAGAAGCCCACCCCTACACACCTACAACAATGTACCCTCTGGCCCCGCAGGCACAGTTACATGAAGGAGATTGAAGGTTACACACCAGGAATATGGTTCTAAGTTTGATCTGAAGGCAAATGTTGCTTCTTTATACACTACAACAAACTACCAGCTCAACAGAAGCTCTCAGCAAACAAAGGGGAAGCGATACCACAAAATTATGGTACGCAAACCACGATAGGAAAGCCAGCAGCTAAGTCAGAGTCAGTTCCAGCAATTAGTTTGGGTAATTCAGAAACTACATTTTCTTCACCTTGGCAATGTAATAGAACATGCATGTTGAGAATTTCAGGAATCCGGTATTGAATCAGCCAGAACAGAGCCCTACACCCTACACTTGGCAAAAGTCTAGCCAGTAGCTCAGTATGGAGTCCTGCTTTGACGTAAATTAATTTTGACATAAAATATCTCCACTGGATTGTTACAATCGTTGTTTGACCCACAACCAAAGCTACCAATATTTTTGTTTTGCTCCTTGGGAAGCACTGCCACATTTTATAGAAATGAGATAGAAGGCCAAAACGTGCAGCTAATATTGAAGTGGTTCATTGTAATTCCTACCACCTTCGGCAATCACAGCCCTACACGAGGAGGAAAGCAAAGCTCCCATACCATCAGAGCCGGGCTCTACAGGCCTGCAGGCCACATCTGGCACACTCAAACATTGGCAGCTCCTTGGGTGATGTAATTATTAGCACAGGTGGGGAAGGAGTTGAGAATAGGTGCTGAGGCTTCTGGAGAAGTGGAGTCAGTCATTTATTTCTGTCAGGTAGTGGCTGCAAACACCGCTCGACACTTTTGTAGCGCCACATGTGCACGCTGGCAACAGGTGCAAAGTAAAAGCTAAAATTTAATCACTATGGTAGCATACAAAAACATAAATCCCACAATATTTATGACTCGAGCCTTTCCAAAGGGAGATAAAGTAGGTCATTCTTCTTCTGACAAATTCAGAGGTTCCAAGACTTTGAAAAGCAGTAAATGCAGCCATTAAAAAGAAATCTTACACTTCATCTCACACAATGCTGGAAAAAACATATTTAAGTGGAATCCGAGATGGATGTACACACACTTCCCCGTTTTGAGTAATTACATTTCTATTTGGAGAGGATACAGCAGTCTGCTGTAAACCATCCAGTCTGCTACTTTGTCCTCATCATTATATAGGTTGGTATTCACTGTAAGATGTAAGAAAATAATGATTTGTAACATTTCAGCTGATCAGGAAGAGGAATACACTGTGACAAGACACCCTGTCAAACAGTTCATTCCTCTTGCCTTCCCTGCAGTCATCAACCTCTACATTGACGAAAGGATGTCACAAACAGCTTCTATCAATAACTTTTACACACAGATGCTTTGATTTTGGGAGGAAAACTACTGCTGAAACTCATTGACAACCCTAACGCCTGCCACTGAAGATGAGGAGAAGCACACAGAGGATGAAACTCCTGTTACAGCACTCACACAGCCCCTGGGTTTTCTTAAGATAGCAGCTGGGACCCCATGGCAGCTCACCTTTGTGGGGTAACTCTTTTTTCTGTATTACTATCATGCAGTTTGCCTTGAGGGTGAACCCAGTTTGCCTTGAGGGTGAACCCACAAGGGTTTCTGCCCTCCTAACTAATTCTGTACATGCTTACGTGCCTCTCCAGCCATCTACGTGCATCAACAGTCAATGGGAAAAAAACACTGCCACCCAAGCAAAGGGGACAGCTCATTAATTAAACCAGCCACCGTGAATTGCTCCCTGTAATTCATCAGAGCCACTGATAGTTCACTAACAATATATAAGAATTACATCTCTGCAGAGGGAACTTTTTCAATCACCTCTGTTTTGACTGACTTTCCTTCTGATTAGATCCATGGTGCCAGGAGGCATGTTTGCATGTGTACTCTAAGTAACATATACATAGAAAGACAGATCTTTTACATAAATAGCACTATATATATACACATGCAAACACACTTTTTATTTTTGTGCAACAGGCTATTCCTCAGCACATAAACACAGTTTATTTCTAAAGCTTTTAATGCAAGCTACATATCCATCCAAGACTTTCATTGCTCTTTCCCTCAAACTGCCTATATTTCCTGTCTTTATTTCTAGAACAGCCATAATTATTAATAGGCAGAATTCGTTAGTGTGCAATAGCAACATGGAAGATCTATATTTGCTAGGCTTCATCTGACTGCAGTGGTGATAAAACTAGGAAAATATTGATCAATTATCTTTTCCTGAAATAGGGGCTCACAAGATGATGTTCTGTTGTCATTAGCTTCTGCTAATTAAAACCTCTCAAATGCAAAAAGAGCCATGAGAAAAATCCTGTTTCTCAGAATGTAAATTTTAATGTGGGATTTCTACTATGGGAGCCAATTATGAATAACTGACACCAAGCAGAGTTCCAGTTCACAGCACTGGAACAAACGTATCTGAGCCATGACCGGGAGATTTCCATGGAACCTTTCTCTCTGCTGCTTCTGGGGCAGTTATGTCTTTTTTCATTCGGTGGTTGTTTCATTATACATTCTAGATGAGTTCCAACAGAAATAGAAGTTCATTAGACGAGACTTAGAGGCTGATTCGAATGACCAGTTCCAGAGCAATACAGTTTGAACAGCAAAAATAAAAGTTATTACAGAAGTGGCCAAAAGTGACAGGATATTGCAAAAAGCTTTAGCCAAAAGTTTCAGCAGCCATCTGTAAAATGGAAGAGACTTTTCCAACGTGTTTTGCCTTAGGGGTAAAATGACATACCTATTCAGCAGCCACTTTCAGATAAACAGCACCATACGCTCCAAAGGTCTACAGCTTGAATCACCTCTTTTTAAAAGACAAAGTTATCTCCGTTATTTTGTAGCATGACTGACTGAGCTTCTAAGTGTCCATTTTAAACAAGATTTCTACCTGGACTGAGAGTTCACAGAACAGAGCTTAGCTAGCACTGGTCACAGTGTGGTATGCAACAGCTAGCCTTCACGCAGAAAGGAGTCTCCTTCCGTTTGCCATGTGTTAGCCAAATGTTTCTCCTTAATTCCTACTTAGAGTTGCTTTCTTTTAGTTCCAGAAAATCATGGATACCCACATGATGACTATTACATGCCGGGTAACATACACTTTCTTCAGTACAAGGAAAATACATTTAAAAAAAATTCAACCTGTGAAATTTAAATTGCATTTTAAGGCTAGCTTTGGATAACTTGCAGCAAGAAAAAATGAAAACTTAATGAGTAAAGATAGGCTCTTATCTAGACTCCTAACCTCAAAGGAGCAAAGGCAGGAATTAAACTTTGCTGTATGTGCACAATATTAAAAAAAAATATCAAAATTAACTTGGTCTCTAACGTAAATGCAGCATAGAATCCATTCAGCCTGAAATTCCATGGACATCTCAAATTAAATAAAAGTTCCAATTTCCACATTGTTTCCACATCCTTATGCTGCAAAACAGGCAGCATGTCTGAAGGAAGGACCTGTTTGAAAAATAGTGAAAACAAGACAAAATCAAGTGGAAGATGAATGGCACACTGCAACATAAAGCCAAGGAAGGCTAGGTTTGGAAAGAAAGAGAAGCTGTGGATAGCTGAGCACAAGGAGCAGGACTAGAAGTCAGAGATATGTAACTGGACACAACAGGAGCAATCCAGAAAAGAAGAGGTCAGTCCCTAGGGCAGAAGAGAGCAGGCGTCATGTTAGGCACTGGCTATATCAGACACTGCTTGAGGGGGGCTGTTTCAAGTTGTTTCACTTGCTGTGTATGATAATTACAACAAGATGGATGCTAAAGATTTATTAATTATGCAGCAGACACTACCAAATAATACAATTAAATACTCTTCAAGTGCATAAACACATAAATTGTTTCCTTTCTTTTTAATACATTTGTTTCGCTGCCACATGACTTAAATGGTATTACAGTAAATCCCTGGAAATAAAGGCATTATCCTGCTGTGAAACTACTGCGAGGAAAGGAAGATCAACCCCAGTCCATTAAGATGCACTTCCCAATTATTTCATTCTGGAAATGATTCACTCACTTTGCACAGCCATCCCAGCTCTCCAGCTTTAAAGATTCATTGGAAACATTTTCATTTCGTTTCTGTCTTCCAGTCTTAACTAGGTGACCATTTGTCATGCACTAGTCTAAAGTGTATGTTTTCATCACCTAAAAGCTAAGCACTGTCTACTGTTACGCAAGCAAGTAAAGGAAAAGCATGTCATCTAGATTTAAGGTAGTAAACCAACATGCCTTGGAATCACTCCCAAAAGCACTTAAGACGGGAAATGAAACTTTACTGCCCCAGCGTATTATAGTGGTGCCCAAGAGCACTACGATAGTTTGGGATGAGGCTCAGAATTTCCATTAGAGACCCAATTTGCAGGAAGTTTAACTTGGCCATGAATATCTGCTTCAGGCTAAAAACTATTTTATAAGCTCTCCCTCCAAGTGCCAATAATTTAAAAAGTTTGGTTGGATTTCAGTCAAAGAATGGCTATAAATTTGTCATCTCATGCAGAAGACACAATGATGTCAGTGGCCCACAGACTCCCAACAGAGACTCCTGCTAGACTTGGGATCCTGCCGATTTCTTCCTAGCCTGAACTACTTTAGGTTAATTTATTGAAGGCTCACTCTTTAAACATTTAGCCAGATGGCTTCATAATTCCCCGACTTGCCTCAGGTCATCAAGAAGCAGCAGATGCAGACAATGGTATCACAAGCAACAGCTACTGTTCAGAGGCAGCCAGTGAATTCCTATTCTGCCCTACCATCAGCCAGCTGCAAAACACAGGCTCAATGCAACACTGGATTCATTTTCTTTCCAACACAGCAACTTCTATTAAAGTCCCTCTCCTGGTTTTGGGACAGGTATTCATCTTCTTCATAGTATCTGGTGCGGTGCTGTGTTTTGGATTTAGGATGAGAATAATGCTGACAGCACCCAGATGGTTCAGTTGCTGCAGAGCAGCGCTTGCACAGAGCCAGGGCCTGCTCTGTACCTTGTGCTGCTCCGACAACAACTGGCTGGGGGTGCACAGGGGGCTGGAAGAGGACACAGGCAGGACAGCTGGCCCAGGCTGCCACAGGAACACCCCATAGCCACAGGACTAGGGGGCTGGCTAGGGCTGGGGGGCTGCCATTGCTCAGGGACTGGCTAGACATTGATCAGCTGGTGGTGAGCGAGTGTCTTTTGCATCACTTAGATTTTTCCTTTCTTCTTTTTTATTTTTTTCCTCCTCTTTCTCTCTTATTAAGCTGTCTTTACCTCAACCTAATAGTTCTCGCACTTTTACCTTTCTCAGTTCTCTCCCCCATCTTGCTGCAGGGGGAGCAAGCAAGCAGCTGTGTGCTGCTGGGCTGCCTGCTGGCCTAAACCACAACAGTATCATAAACAAACAAGCAAATATACGACAACATTGTAGGGAAGATTCAGAAGAATAGGGAGAAAACTTTGAACAAATAAACATTTTTCTGAAGTACTCAACATACCAATAACTAGAACCAAAAATCTGGAAATCAAAAAAACGGATTAGGCTTTTTTGGCCAAGCTATGAGAAATTTAAAAACAAGCAAGAATCAGACAAGCACCTGTTATAGAGCCCTAAAACTCAGCATCTGCCTATATTTCAATCTGACTTTCATTACATGCAGATTCCCAAGCCATTCTGAAATGTAACACTCTCAACAATCACCTTCCCAGATCTTCTATACTACTAACCTCATTATCTGGCTGGCACTTGCTGTTTTTAGTTGGCCTCTGCAATTTTCTAAGCTTGGATTCCTCAGAATCTGTGGACTAAAAACAAGTAATTGCTTTAGATTCTGTGTGCTGAGGAGCAAGCTACTTACCTGAATTACATGAAAGGGGAAATAAGAATAACATTGTAATGTGCTCAGTTCTACTGTGTACTCATCCATCTACATACCCTCTTTACCTTGCCTGGCACTCTTTAAGCCTAACGGAGTAAAATTAAACACTATTTATATCCAGAAGCCTCAAAGCCAGCAAACAAGTACTGCCAGAAGTGCTTTCTCAGTTGTAACAAAAATTAAGCTACCTCCTAACAGCAGCATCATTGATATCCATTAATCCTGAATTTCTACCTTGAACCAGCAAACAAAAGAACAAATGCAAACAAATGTTTAGACAAAGATTTATATATTAAAAAGCAATGAAGAGATGGCTTTTAAGGCACTTTAGGACTTCACACTGAGACCTGAAGTAAGTTGCAGTGGAAGATGTGTTCCTTCTCAAGGGTGCAACACATGCACGGTCGACCACAAACAGAGCACCCTTGCTAAAAGGAAATGATTTGACCCAAATGGGGCTTCCCAACAATTCTTTCAAGAAAAAAAAATGAAGAACTAGAAATGAAGACTAGAAAGTCAAAAAATAAATGCAGACACATGACTCCATCCTATGGGTTCTGCTATGGAAGAAGTAAGCTCAAGAGATAGATTAATGACCAGTTATGACTCAAAGAAACTCTTCAGTCCCCATCCCAAAAGCGAGCTATGGCTGCAACAGCAGCATGCATTATTGGGAAGATGTGAGGATGCAAGTACACAGTTCCATTCGTTGCTGGCACACCCCTCTGCCAAACAGAATCAAATGTAGTGAGGAGAATTCAAACAAGCACAGGTAAAAAAATAAACTGCTTGTTAGATGTTCAAAAAGCACAGTCCAAAGGCTCAGAGACAGGAAGGTACACACACAGCCTCAGCCACATTCTTACAAGATCAAATCCATACCAAAAAAAACCTTTCAATTCACGAGAGTAATTGCTGTTAAAGAAAGTACTTAATCGTTAAGTGAACATACAATACAAGACACAACCATTTCAAAAAAATATATTCAGTCCTTACCACAGCATGCAAGAGGTTATTTTTCTCTGAAATGGAATTCCAATTACCTTTTTCTCTGCTTTGTCCTTTCCATGTTCTTTTACATGCTCCCCATCTTTTCCTTTGTCCCTCTGCCTATCCCTGTCCCGGTCTTTTCCCCTTTCTCTGTCTTTTTCTCGGTCTCTGTCCCTAGCCTTATCTTTGTCTCTTCCTTTCAATCTGTCTGTTTCTCTTCCTCCTTGATTTTTTTTCTCCCTTTCCTGTCCTTTATCACGTTCAGCATCATCTTCTCGTTCTATGTCTCCTTTCCTCTTGTTTTTTTCTGTTTCTCTTCCTTGTTTAGTTGTTCTGCTTCTTTCTCTTTCTTGTTTTTCCTCTTCCTTAAAGGTGTCCTTTTCAGCGTCTTTGTGTCTGTCTTCATTTTCTTTCTGTTTATCACTTTCTTTTTCTCTTTCTTCACTCTCTTTGGAATCTCCTTTGGGTTTTCTGTCTCTGCTTGAGCTTCTGTCTTTAATTTCAGTATCTCCTTTCCCCTAAAATAAAGTAAAAACTAATATTTAGTATCAATACACAGCAAGTTTATAACACTGTTACTTTTTACAGATAAAATGAACATGAAAACAAATTTTTAAAAAAATAATGGTAGCCACTGTACCCGAAAGTTGAAAATGCCTACCTCTTTATCCCTATGGGGTTTTTGTTCTTCTGTTTTGGGCTCTCTGCTTTCTTTATCTCGAGATTTAGAGGACGGAGGTTTCCCTTGAGCATCAGCTCTTTCCCCAGCTAAGATCCTTTTTACAGCAGCATCACTGGAGAGCTGCAAGAAACAGAAAAGTTCCCTGAAATGATTAGGTTATTTTGTTATTATCTTATTTCTTCCTAACTCTGTAGTCAACATGACTTTTTTTCCTTTTGAAATAAAGCTTGTATTTCTGCTCTTCCAAAAACATTCTTTCATAGGCCTTTAAGTTAAACATCTCTTTGTAATTCTCATAACAATTTGACTATATGTACCAGGACTATATACATACACCGTGCTTTTCATAAGAATTGCTAATTCTGCTAATGTACATAAAAAAAACACACACGCACCATCACATTGCTGAGGAATTCTTCCTGAAACAGGATTTGCTTTTAGATCACTAAAACCGATTTTGCCCTGAGGGTTGACTCCTGATTTGCAAATACAAAACTATGGATTTTTGTGGGTTTTCACATTTGGACACTAACATCTGCACATTAGTGACACTTGCCTGAACTATATAAGTCCAAGCAGCACGGTCAGCTCGTCACTGAAAGTATCAAGCTAGAGCCTGAAGCAAAACTTTTCCACAATGCACATCAAGCTTATGCTTTACTAAAAAGCCAAGGGGCTAATTATCTTTGCTCAAGTGGGTAGACGATATCCTTTGGATATTAAATCTCATCACACCATGCTAAGAGGCTGTACCATCAAGAACATTCCCTAACTCGTCCCATCTAAGTGTACACGTTCATCAACTTCCTCCTTCCTGGTCTGAAGCAATCTATGTGGAAGAAGTCTGTATAGAACACTCAGCTAACTAAAAGAAAATAATATACATTTAAATTAATAAATTATCAGACAAAGATTATCCAAATAAAATCTCCATACAGCTTGTACATATTATAGGACTTCACTGTGAAATATACACAATTTGTTCACATTCATAACTTCAAGGGTTTTCAACTAATATATCCAGAATGTATTTGTGTGGGGATCTGGCTCAAACTCTGCTAAGGATCACATATTATATTTCTGTTAATATTATTAATAATTATTATTATAAGTGGTGACTCAACACAGTATATCTTGCGTAATGAGTGTCAATGTCTGTCACAAATAAGCTCTGAAAGTATGTAAAATAAATAAATATGTAACTATGTATATAAAATATATATAGTGATGTCATACCTTATTTAAGCAACACTTCCCAATCGCTTGAAGAAATTCATTTGTTTTTTCAGGTTCATGTCCAGCCACAACACGTGCTGGTTTTACTGCCAGTGGCTCTCCTGTTACCATTACAACAGCATCAATTGCCTTCTGAAGGAAGCTGATTTTGGCATCTTTATCCTAGAAAAACAACAATTAAGAAATAATATTGAGACTCTAAAATAATTCCATATACCACCTAAAGATTAGGAAAGCTCCAACGGGAGGAATGGCTGCAGAAAGTGTCAGGACAATAAGAGCAGCTGAACTGTGGCTCACGAGGAAGCTTTGACACAGATGCCAGGAGCCAAAGCATGGCTGAGCTCCCTGGGGATGAAGCACCACGAGCCACCCTGCCCACGCCTCAGGGTCACCCTGCGAGGGCTGGGAGCCCAGCTTAGACCTACCCCAAAGCAGTGGAGCCTCTTAGGAGAGCAGTTTCCAAACCTGGAACAAGGGATGCATTTGTGCCTAAATCTCTGTGCTGTTTTTAGACTCTCCAAGGTGAGTTGTGAATTTGGAGAGACTCAGGCATGCGGGGATTTGGGCATGTGGTTTGTAAGGTCAGGGAAGTGGGCTACCCTGCTTTAGTTAGCCACTTATTTCTGATTAAGAAGTAACAGCTTCGAGCAAGGATGAATATTGAACTTCAATGGCCAAATTAAAAGTAGATTTTTGTGGTTTGTGTGGGTGGGTTTTGTATTGGTTTTATTATTATTATTATTTTCTTTTAAGTGTATTTATCATTGAGCTGCAGTACACTTTCTGATACTTTGTTTTCAAGAGAATAAATACATGTTGCAGAAACTACAATTTTGTATAAGAAATGATGCAAGCATTACCAAAAGAAACACTAAAGAATAACAACAGGATTGTTACAAGCAGTTATTGCTCAGGAAGACAACTATGTTGCCAATTTTTCGACACAGGAGTCCCAGTCTTATGAGACTTGTGAGTCCAAACTGAGAGGCTTAACATGCTTATACACATACTTTACAAACCAGACTTAACAGTGAGTAAAGAAAACATACAAAGGATGGTGGCCAAGAGATACAGGCACATACTTTATCTCCACAATTACCAGATGTGTTTTAGTTTTACAATTACAATCAACTTTCCCCAAGTACCCTTTAGCAAAAGCGATGACTCTTGGTGATTACAGGAAAACATTACAAAAATAAGAGCGAAACAAAACAACACCCACCAACTAAAATGTTATCGGACAGTTCACAGCACAGAGAATGAAATCATGGTGTGAAGTACTGGTGAGGGGGCGTGGATTTATTCATAAAGCAGAGTAAAATTCAAGGAATTTTACCAGTTCCATCACAGAAATTTACTTACTCATCCTTTACTTTATTGAGTGGAGATAAAGATACCTTACTAGCCTGTTAAAAAGCAAACCCACGTGAGAAGAGTTCTCTGTGTGTGTTTGAACAGGTGTTGGTTCGGAAGAGTATCAGCTACAAGATTTAAGCCAATAACCAAAAAGCTGACCACTGACATTTCACTTTACTTCAGCAAAGCGAGCAGTTTTAACTACCCAGTAAAACACCTGATTCTGCACTGCACTTCTTTACCATCTGGGCATCTCAGGAGCATGGATCCATAACGATCTGGACCTAATTTGACAGACATACCAAAATAAAGGAGAGCACCAGAAGCCAGTAATTCCTCATCTGAGCAAGGACACTATTCTTCAAAGGCCATCTGGCAGCATTATCTGCTCCTGTGGCACTGGAGCTCTGTGTGGCTGTCCGTGTGATATCCCAAGTCCCAGAGCTGCTCCATAAACAAGACCTGGGTTGTGCTGCAAGCATGTAAATGATAACTAAATGCGTGGGAAGACGGTCTCCAGAGCCAGGGCACTTCCTGTCTTCAACTCTTCCGAACAGATTAAAACAAACAACTGCCACATAGCTAGGATTTTCAGATGTCTCCATCAACATCAGGGCCACTTCACCCTCACCAGTGATCCCTGCATTCAAAAACAAAAAAGGAAGGAAATGTTGCACCCTCCTTTGATTAAAATAGTTGTCCGTCTTTTCACGGACATATGCAATCTGTTAATTCAGGGAAGGAAGCAGGACACTATTCTAAATCAAACATTTTAAGATAAAAGTTATCCAGAAGTCCCTCCGATATCCTTGTCTTTTTCATCAGTTACGTCATCAGTGCTTTCTGTCTGAACAAGAAATCTTCATGAAGCCAGTGAGAAACCTACAGATCCCACCTGGATCAGTAAATAAAGTTCTACCAGAATAAAGACAAACATCTGAAACAGTGCAGTGAGCTTTAAAACCACCAAATAAAAGTCATTTTCTATTAAACAAAGGCTGTGCCATGTGGGAGAGGTGAGTTGAAACCCAACCCAAAATGGTTGCTGCACACATGAACGCCACCATGCAGCTCTGAAAGGGATTTCAAGACCAAGAGCCAGCCCCAACAGCCACAGAGGCTGACCAGGACACTGCCGTGGCTTTGGGCTTTCGTAGTTTCAGCCTGTGCTTCTTGAGATCTTTAACTGCAGCCAGTGATTCTTCCCGGCCCACAGCAAGCAGACTGGATGACGGCACTAGGAGGGCTATTTCACAGCGAGCACAAACCTTTCTGTTCTTGCAGAAAGCACCCTGTCCATTCCAGGTCTGTGTGCCCGTTGCCAGATCATCACACCAGAAGAGCATCGTTCCCAGAGATACACAAAACAGATCTCCATCATGTATACAGCGATCACAGCGTGTATGCCAGCTGCTGCTCTCAGCCTCCAGCCATCTGCAGGTAGCTTTGGTCTCCACAGAAAGATTCCTCCCCTCCTACCACAAAATGCTAACTCTCCTGATTTTCTTAAACTCCAACAGAAATCACAGTAAGGAAGCATCCCTTGACAGACAAATCTTTCTCCCAACTTATGCTTTGAAAAGAGGTACACAAGCTAGAGACATTTTCCCCAGCATTTTCATCTCCTTTTCCTGAACCCCTGAACACAAGATCTTATGGACTGCAGGAAAAAGCTCGAAAAGAGCTACTTAGGAGGTTGGTGCAACTTCACAGATACCACGGTATGTAGATATTTGTATCTACATACAAAGACCTGCCTCAGAGCTGCTAGGAAATGGTTTTTCAATCGACAAAAGAAAAAATGAATAATGCTCTGCAAACAAGAGACAGCACGAGCTTAGCTGCTCACCTTCACTGACCCCATTGTCAAGCTTCAACAGGGAAAGTATGAGCAAAACCAATCAATTGTGTAATTAATTTTAGTTACCCCTGCAACAGCAGGAACAGTCACAGAAATAAACGTACCTATAAGGCCAATAATTAGCTGTGAGCAGTGCATAAACCATCCGTGCAACTGGATGCAGGGTTGGCAAGCTGACGCTTTAGTTGCTATGTTAAACAATCACCAAAGGATGTAGCTGTTTAACTAGCAACACTCCACAGGCATTGTGTGCCACGAGTGACACAAGTTTTGAATCAAGTTGGTTGGTGGGGAAGTCAGCAGCCCTGGCTCAGCAAAGAGGCAGACACTGGGAGAGCAAACACAGCCTGAAGTCATCTGTGCACTTAAGAAAAGCATTTCTCAGCAACAGCATTAACTTCCCTCAGCAATTGGCCATCCACAGACAGCAGTAAAACTGCTGTAGAGTGCCTATAACAGATGAGTGCCTTATTATAATTGTATTATAAAGCAATAATATTTAATGTATGTGTATACTGCACACAGATATGCCTGTATATACACACATTTTTTAAAAAGCAATAAATACAAGAACATGCATTTTATCGATAGACCTCCAGACTCAGGAAAAAGCTGTGTGCGGATTTCTAGTGTTTGAGATTTATTATCAGTGCCAGACTGCTTCAAGGCAAGTTCCCCACATAATGGTTATCATTATCTGCAGTACAGCAGACGTTTGGAAACCTAGGTTTAGTCATCGGTTAGATCTCTCTGTTTTGAGATGTGCACAGGAATAGTTCTTTAAACATGACAGCTTGTTTGTGTCCACCCACTGAGCTATACCTATAAATGTGATCTATAGGTGTTTACCCTACATGTTGCATAATTTAACCAACAGGCTGCAAATATCCTTTTAAAACTTCTTCACAGTGTTAAGTTAAAGGCAGGCAGCAGAAGCTGAACACAAAAAAGACCAGAAAGGCCTTGTGGCAAATTTCAAAGTGTTCACATTGAAGCTGGATAAACAGGGAAGTTTCATACCCACCTTGACATTATCTGATTTCAATTCAAACTCTGTGTAAAGTCCTTTCATAAAACCTGTCACTCTGATCACCTGGAAGACAGAAGAAAAGGCACAAGTTAGGAGCACTCAAAGGTTTCTGTGGGATAATACTCAGGCGGCAGCAGCAGGCATAAGGGCCTGCTTCACTTCCAGAGGCAGTGCAGCATTTGGCAGGATCGGGGCTGCTCGTGTCTGTGCACCAGGGAGACGTAATCCTTGCTTACAGCTCCGGCCTCCCTCCTGTTTAATTCCACTTTTAACCTTGGCAGACGTGGGACACCCGCAGCGTTAACGCGGGCACACGCACTTCAAAGACAGCTTTCTGCTGTTACCTCTGACCTCTTCGTGCACAGCCACGTGTGGAACCAGAAGCTCAAGGAACTGATACGTATATAACAAAAACAGATAAAAATCCTACTGTCTCCCCACTGACCTCTTTGTGCACAGCCACATATGGAACCAGAAGCTCGGGGAACTGATAGATATATATTTGAAAATAAATTAAGAAACTATTATCTCCCCTGTGATGTCTTTCAGCACAGCCGCGTATAGACCCAGAAGCTCGGGAAATTGATACACACATATATATTAAAATAAATAGAGAACTACTGTCCCCCTGCTGATGTCTTTGTACACAGTGAAGTATGGAACCAGAAACTTGTGGAATTGACACATATATATTAAAAATAAATAAAAAAATACTATCCCCCCACTGTCCTCTTCATGCACAATCGCATATGGAACCAGAAGCTCGGGGAACTGATAGATATATATTAAAAATAAATTTAAAATAACTACTAAACCTCCACTGACCTCTTCATGCACAGCTCCATATGGAACCAGAAGCTCAGGGCACAGACACGTATATATTAAAAATAATTTAAAAAACACTGTCTGCCCTCTGAGCAACTCGTGCCCAGCCACGTACGGAAACAGAAACTCGTGGGACCGCCAGATACATTCTCAAAGCTCACGGAACCGACCCGTATTGATCAACCCACCCCCAAAATCCCCTGAAACCACCCCAAAATCCCCTCCCCCCCCCCCCAACACCCCGCAGGGGGCGCGCTGCCGGCCCGGCCCCCGTTGCCTAGCGACGGCGGCGCACCTCGGCGATGAGGTCGTGCAGGTAGCGGAAGGGCGGCCTGCTCAGCAGCCGGTCGGTGAGCGGCGGCCGCCGGATCACCCGGCCCAGGGCCTCCCGCGTCTGCCTCAGCACCGCCTCGTTCATGGCCGCCTCACAACGACAACGCCGCCGCCCTCGCCGCCGCCACAGCCCCGCCGCCCGCCCGCCACCGGCCGTCCCGGCCTGCCCCGCGCTGCACAGCGGCCCCGGTGCGCAGGCGCGCGCTGTTGCTAGGCACGGCGCGGCGCGGCCCTAGCAACCCGCCCCGCCGCCATCTTAGGGGCCCGGGTGGGTGGTAGGGTTGGGGAAAAAGGCGGAAAAAATAAAAACAGCAAAAAAGCAAAAGACAAAAAGCAAAAAAAAAAAAAAAGAAGAAAAAACAGAAAAGGCAAAAAAAAGCAAACAAAAAAAAAGCTAAAATAAAAGCAAAAAAGGCAAAAAGCAAAAAGGCAAAAAAATAAAAACAGCAAAAAAAGCAAAAAAAAAGACAAAAAAGCAAAAAAAAGCAAACAAAAAAGCTAAAATAAAAGCAAAAAAGGCAAAAAAAAGCAAAAAAAAGCAAAAAAAGAGAAAAAAGATAAAAAAGGCAAAAAAAGCAAAAAAGGCAAAAAAAAGAAAAAAGCAAACAAAGCAAAAAAAAGCAAAAAAGGCAAAAAAAGCAAAAAAGCAAAAAAAGGCAAAAAAACAAAAGCAAAAACAGTGAAAAAAGCAAAAAAACGGCAAAAAAGAAAAAAAAGCAAACAAACAAAAAAAGCAAAAAAAAAGCCAAACAAAAAAGAAAAAAAATGCAAACAAAAAAGAAAAAAATGCAAATGCAAACAAAAAAGCAAAAATAAAAGCAAAAAGGCAAAAAAAAGCAAAAAAAAAAAAAGCAAAAAAGATAAAGACAAAAAAGGCAAAAAAGGCAAAAAAGAAAAAAGGAAACAAAGCAAAAAAAGACTAAAAAGGCAAAAAAACAAAAGCAAAAAAAGTGAAAAAAGCAAAAAAAATGAAAAAAAGCAAAAAAAAAGCAAACAAAAAAATCAAAAAAGCCAAACAAAAAAAAGCAAAAAAAATTCAAACAAAAAAAAGCAAAAATAAAAGCAAAAAAGGCAAAAAAAGCAAAAAAAAAAAAAGCAAAGAGAAACAAGACAAAAAAGCAAAAAAAAAAAGCAAAAAAGGCAAAAAAAAGAAAAAGCAAACAAAGCAAAAAAAGCAAAAAAGCAAAAAGACTAAAAAGCAAAAAGCAAAAAAGGCAAATAAACAAAAGCAAAAAAGTGAAAACAAAGCAAAAAAAGGCAAAAAGAAAAAAAAAGCAAACTAACAAAAAAGCAAAAAAAGCCAAACAAAAAAAGCAAAAAAAAAGCAAACAAAAAAAGCAAAAATAAAGCAAAAATGCAAAAAAAGCAAAAAAGAAAAAAGACAAAAAAGGCAAAAAAGGCAAAAACGGCAAAAAAAAGAAAAAAGCAAACAAAGCAAAAAAAAGCAAAAAAGGCAAAAAAAGCAAAAAAAGGCAAAAAAAAAAAAGCAAAAAAAATGAAAAAGCAAAAAAAAAGCAAACAAACAAAAAAGCAAAAAAAAGCCAAACAAAAAAAAGCAAAAAAAAAAAAGCAAACAAAAAAAAAGCAAAAATAAAAGCAAGAAAAGGAAAAAAAAAAAAAGGAAAAAAAAAAGGAATAAAAAGCGCCGGGGTCTTCTGGTCCGTGTGTCCCCTAAGCACCACACGGCACTAAGCAGCACTTGCAGCCTCTCCTTAAGCACCTCCAGGGGTGGGGAGTCCAACGTCTCACTAGGAAACCCGTAAAAGCCAGTCCAAGAGATCCCATCAAAATCAGTCCAAGTAACTCTCTAAGACCCAATTTGGATTTTTAGAAATAAGACATTCTGTAATTACAGCACCAGATACAAAAAAAATCGCTCCACACAGTGTGCGTGCCGAATTCGAATTGTAGAATAGCCCATGCTGGAAGGGACCCACAGGGATGGATCATCGAGTCCAGCTCCTGGATCCGCATAGAACCACAGAATCCTGTAATCATGAGGGTTGGAAAGGACCTTCAAGATCATCTGGTCCAACCATAACACCAGTATCACCTACTAGACTATGTCCCTAAGCACCACGTCCAACCAACTGTCCAGGCCACAGGGGTTATGTACAATTAAAACATACATATTTGTTAGACCTCTGATAAATAATTAACATATGCATCCCATAATTTGTTAAAATATGCAAGTGTTCCTGATGTATGCACAGTTGTTTCCACTGGTGGTCTTCCAGAGGTCTCTGGTGATCGTTGGTAGTCTTCCTCACTATGTTTGTTGATTGAACCCAGTTCTTGTGCATGCTCAAACCATCTCATTGTTTCTCATTTTGTTATTCCAACTTAGCTGTGCATACTAAATTAAGCCACGTACACATCCAAAGACATGCATACCATGAGTTCCTCACCGTTTCTTTCCAGGTACATTCTCCAGGCCTAGGTTATCTTGCCCCTCCTTCCCCTGTCCTGGGATACAATTCTGTATAGTCTTACAGATAAGGCTGATTCTTTAGTGACTACGGTAGCATTAGTGTATGGTAGCAAAGTTTCTGGTCTTCTAGAAGACTAATTAGTCATAGTTTCTAACTAAACATAGTAAATTTCTGATACAAGCCAGGATGCCGTTGGTCATCTTGGCCCTGTCCTTGGCCATGCTGGGAGCACCCCTGCGATGGAGTTTCCTGAGGTTGGCCTTACAGATGGCTCATGGTGAGGTGCAATGGTCATCAGGCATCAGGGGGAAGGGATGCTGCTTACTTTGGGGTGCTACTTTATTTGGGGAGCTGTTTTTTTTAACCTGGTATCCCAGGCTGGGGAGCAAGGGGAGGGTTGAGATGTGCAGAGACACCACCCTGCTGCAATTGCAAGTCAAAAATGCCATTGGGTAGTCCAAAGCTGCTTATACAATGGGTATGAAAGGCCTGTACAGCTTCCTATCCTGGAAATAACCGGGAAAACTCAGGCATTTGCATCACAAATATGCAGGCCACTCCTGGTACATCAGTGCAGCAAGACTAAAGTTTCTGGAAAATGCTGTCCGATGGATGTTTGATGCTCCCTGCTCCCCACAAACTGCCCCACAGGTGAGCCCAGTAACCACAGCACACACACAGTAATGCCAGGGCAAGCTAGTTCTGAGCTGCCTGATGGCCATGGGTCTGTCTGACTTCACCACATCTTGGGAAAAAAAGTTGTTGTGTGTCTGTCAAACCCTAGTTCCTTCTTCAAATGCTGTTCACAGTCTACCCACCTATAAAACAGAAGAGTGGTCTGTTGAGGTACAGCATGATTTTAAACACATGTACCTGTTACTCTAGAATACTCAGAAATGGAAGGTGGATTCAAAATACAGCTCTGTCGACTGCAGAAACCTTTGGCTTTTCTTTAAAAGTGCTGAAGCAATCAGTAACAAAGATCTGAGAACAAACAATAGGCATCAGTTTCCTAGCTTACTGAGCTAACTGAAGCAGAATTTCTTACTCAAGTACTGCCTACAAAGTGAAGACAAAAGATAGCAAGAATGTGTTTATTCAGGAGCAAAGCTCTGAGTTGAGGAGAAAGTGATTCCAGCTACTTCAGAACAATCTGATGGTTCCAAGTACAAGTGACCTAAGGAAAATGGGAAAATATTTTGCTTCACAGGCCAGGCAAAACTCATCTCTGATTAGGCACTATTATAAAGTAAAAGCACAGTGCAGGATATATAAGGTGTGATAGCTGATTATATGGATAAAATGTAAGATCTTTGTGTGCCCTATCTCAGCCATGCCAGAACAGACTATCTGGGAAAAACTCCCTGGAACAAACCCTAAAAGTATGTTGTCCTATGCATAGTTAGACCTCAGTCCCTTACTTGAATAATTATCAGACAAACAGTGAAGTACTAAGTGTTCAGAAAGTTAAGATTTCTTGAGGTGATTTTTTTTTAAACTGTTCTTGAAATAAAGTAGAATATAAGAGTGAAGACCTGGGGAGGAGCCAGCTTTAAAATTCTCTGATCCCACTTCACATTCCCTGTCAAAACCAGGACAAGGCAATTAAAGGAAAGGAGAGCACAGGGTCCCCACCACCAGTGTCTCCTGCAGGTGAAAGACACCACTGCCTTCCCACCAGGCAATTTCCTACATCCCCTGTGCAACCTCCTTTGTTCTTGTCACGTTACATCCCTTAACAAAAAGGGAAAACTTGGCTGTTCCCGAGTGTTCATGCTGCTGCCAATTGTCCAGACCATGACTGGGAACCTAAGAAAGAAAATACTACTTTTCTGCTTGACCAGTCATGACCACTAACGTGTGAGACTGAAATTTCAATAGGACTGCACACAGTCTGAGCTGCTGTGTGTTGTGATTGCCCACTTGTTTAACAGCCCAAACCTGCAGCTCACCTGAGTTGCTGCAATTGTGCATTTTTTCTCACATCAGTTGTAAAAGGCAGCATTACCAGCTCTCCCATGCCAGCTCCAAGTCTCAGATAAAACAAAGCACAGACTGAGTTAGAAGAACAAATCAGATTTAGGAACAAGAAGAGACACATTACAAAATAGATTCATCTGGTATAAAATAGATTTATCTGGTTTAGGCAGGGAAAGAGGTTGTTCTTATGCAGAGGAAGTCAAGTGGACCGCTTCCACGCTGACAGAGTAATTACACCTGGGCTCCTGAGAGCAGGTAGTTCAGCAGGAAGAAGTTGCAGGGAAGCGACTTGTCTCTTCCCTCAGCCTGACGCACGCATAAATTGATGAGATTCCCAGACAGACTGTGACTACAGGATCTGGTGAGCCTGGGAAGAAGAAAAGGTGTTGACAGCTTCTACATACAAGGGCATCAGAAGAAATCTCAGAGGAAGCAAGAAGACTGGGAAGAGGCTGCTCTGGGGAAGAGGGTTGTTTGTTTTGGAATCGTGGTTTATCTGGATTTCTGCCACCAGCTCTCTATGAAGCGTCTGCAATGCCTGAGAATGAATCTTAGGGGTTTTGTTAAATCTGACCTTTGGCATGCTCATTTTGCTAAAGAGGTAGTACCCTGAGGAGGCACAGATCAATTTAACTGAAGAATCAAAAGCCAGCAACCCACAAAGACTCCATGAATCCCTGTGGAACTAAAGGGAGGCACTGGAATTTTAAAAAGCATCCTAAGGCTGTAAAACAGATAGCTTGAGGTTTAGTCTCCAGATGTAGTCCTTTTGAGGACCTTGGACTTGATTTGTTATTAGAAGCTGGGCAAGTTGAGACGTTGTCACATGAGGTGAAACCAGGGAAAGAAAATATCTGAGTAAACCTGGCACAAACACAAGATGGCTGGTGAACCGTGGAAGCAGTAGGAGCACTTACACATCTTTATACTGCTACGTTAAGAATCTCAGGCAGTCCTCCTGTCAGTAGAAAATTCAGCTGGCTACACAGTGTCAATTAAGAGACAAATCAGATTATCAAACAACCCAAGAAAAGAAGGGGGGGAGAGGGGGGTTGAAGATCCTACTGCTTTTGCTGCAGAACCCAGAAAAGGCACACCAGACTGACAGTCTGTAATCATTTCTTGAGACATAGGGAATTTGTGTTTCCCTTTCCTAACAACTAAACTTTTCTGAAGTGAAACAGATACAGACCCTGTGGTTACCTTCCAAGAGCCAAAGCTGCTACAGTACATGAAATGCCCACTGGCTGTTCCTGTAAAATGCTCTTTTTCTGTTGCAAGAACAAAGTTTGGGAGTCTGAAATCCTCTTAGTTTTTTTTGGTGACTCTGACATTTATTAGTGTTTTTTTTTTTGTTGTTTGTTTGTTTTGTCCTTTACTGGGTCTCACAGTTTTAAGACTTTTTAAAAGATAACTGGAGGCCAAACAGTTTGCAGTTGTTCAGAATCCTAAAGCAAGGGTCGATTTTTATAAAAATCTCTATGGTATAAGATTTGGGAAGTTTACAATAAAATCAATTCCTGAAGCAGAAATAAACATGCACAGAGTACCCCTTACCCTAACATCAAGAACTGCAACCAAACCACATCCACTGAAAGCGCCTGAGACGTGGAAACAATGGCAGTGCTTGGGGAACAGCCTTCCCCTGAACATACCCTTGAAGTCTCTAATTCCCTCTCCTCCTTTAAACAGCTTCATGCTTGTTTGCCTTTTAAATTACTACCACCCCTTAGAAGTCAGGTTTTGCCTTTTGAGCTACTGCTCAATGTGGGATTTGGAATTTTGTCCAGCAATCCCGCACATTTCAGATTACCATCAACCATCAAAGTTACTCTCAGCCCGTCAGGTAAACTTCAAAAGTAAGTGCAAATCACCACAAAGACAGGTTGGTTCTGAAGATCAGCAAGGATCTGGTGAGACAAACTACTGCTGTGCTGCAGTCCATTGCCTGGACATCGCATGTCCTGGTGCTGGCTGATCCTGCCTGCAGGCTTGCTGGGGCCTTTCCATCCTTAAGGGAACACAAAGATGCTGTGTCTCAGGAGTTCTGTGTGCAAAGCAGTGAAATGAGTTGCCTTTGTGAGTTATTTTATCAGATATGAAGACATTTGATTGGTAAAACACACCTTAGATTGTTATTATGTCATGTGGAGATAACAACTGGACAAACAGAGCTGTGTGGTTTCGTAGATAGATACTTCCTGCTGTTTTCAATCAGCTCATTACAGATTGTATACAAACCTTTACATATTTTCTCTTATCTTTACCAGCTTAAGAAAGTTAATGGAGGGACTATTCAGAACTCTAGCACAAATTTGTTTTGGCCAGTTGTGTTTGGGTTACTGGATAAGATAAAACCACCATGAGCAGGCTGCAAACTGCAACATGTTTACTCCATGCAGCGTTAATGGAAAGCCTTGATTGATTCAGTTAAATCAAGTAGAATTAGTTTTGCAATGAATAACCAACCATATGTTGCATGTTCAGATTTGTTTCTATCAAGAGAAACAGTTCCTTTTCAATTGATCAGTGTATTATATACACATCATGCCTGCAGTTCTGGTATGGATCTATCCTATCCACCCTGCCATAACTGGAATCTTTCACAAGAGCTAGGTCTCAGCAGCATCACCTCATTCCCTTGACCCACACGTACCCCTGCTCCCCCCATCCCTTTGCCTACTTTTCAATTCTGGCTGTACACTAGTTTTATTTTCCCAACCTCTTCTACAGCTGTCCATGCTGGCTTTTATTTCTCCTGTAATTCAGGAAGGTTTGTCATTCAGAGCACAGCAGCACGCATCCATTTTTATCTGCTAGTTTTGCAAATGAGCTCAGCTTTTGAATTTTACTGAAGTGACCATCAAATTTCTTCTGCACAATGCAACTTCCCCATGTAATTTATATCCAGATTTCACACAGTTCAGGAAACATGTAACACTTCACATTTCACCAGCTCTCTATCCCCTGTAATCCTGTAAGCCTCTGGTGGTGAAAAACTGGTGAAGTTTCCTCAGTGGCTCATTTATGCCCATTTCCCCCCCCTCCTTGAAGTACAGCCATCACCATCACAGTCTAGCTCACTAGCAGCCCAGAGCTGTTTCACTGAGGTCTTCAAAGAAAGATCAAAATCTGACCATGTACAGAAGCAGAGCTGGGATTTCTTCACAGGCTGGTGGTTGGTTCCACAATGGGAATTTTGGTCTTTTTCATGTGAGACCATAAAAGCTCTGCCCAGAATTATCATCCCTCCACTGGAAGTCGGTGCTTCACTTCAGATTTATGATGGGGAAAGGCCATCTCCCTCACGCTGTGCAGCAAGCCCTGCTCATCCCACACATTCACCTCTCTTATCCTTGCACGGCCCTTTCATTTTGCTGCTGTTCCCTGTTACTGTAACATGGCTCAGTCATACCATGTTGTTGCCTTTTACATTGTGATTTCTTATTTTCTGTAATATTTTTTATACAGGAATATGCTAAGGCTCTTCTAAGAGTACTATTCTCTGCCCCACTCCTGGTTTGAAGGCACTGAGAGGTGTATGCATCTCCTCTGTATCTCTCCATTTGGCTCTAGGGGACTTCACAGTACCTGGAGACCCACAGATCATCCCCAGGGAGCCAGGCGTGTCTAGCACAGGCTGTGTGAATGCTTCAATAAATCAATAAGCCTCAATTAAAAGCATGCATGTTGCTGGGCTGATTAAGGACGGCTTTTGTAGGAAGGTTGTTCTGCACCTTGGCAGGAGCAGGATATCCTGGAACTCCAGCTGACGTCCATGCCCAGCCATTGTGCAAATACAGAGGTATAAAGGGACATTGCCTTACCTGGGCTGGGGGCAGAGACGGTGACAAGTACACTCCAAGGCATCAACGGGAGCCACCAGGTGAGAGACCAGTTCCATGGAAGTGGCTTTTTAGGCTTGTTGTTGAGGAGGACCAGGCATTTCTTCCCCATCAGTACAGCTGCTCTTTGTGGGTGGGCTGCTGCTAGATTTAATTGCTGATGATTAGACCAGTGAACAGCACCCAGGTGAGGACTGCTTGGCCAAGCCAGATAACATACACAGAGATCTCATGTGTTGAAAAGGATGGCGGGCAGGACTGATGGCACCTGCTGCCCCATGACTGTTTCAGCCTACTTTTCCCAAGTCACCCAGCAGGCTCCAGGTGCATTCAGACAGAGCTGACCTTACCTGCATAGCTCTGGTGGGAAGTAGGGCGGCAGAAGAGCTATCTGGGGCTCTGGCTGATCCATGCTGGGCTGAATATACAGACCACTTCAGAGTGGATTGAGCAGCTTATCTCTACACAGGTGAGTGTTAGGAAAAATGCACACAAATGCTGAAATTCAGCAGCAAGGCAAGCTACAGAGTTAAGCAGTTGTTGCTGCTGTAGACAGATGCTGTTGTTTTCTGTTGGTGAGATCAACCAGCTAGACAAACCCTCAGATTACTTTAAACGTTCCCTAAGCTTTTGCTCTGACACCTGGAGGTAAAACTATTTCTAACAGGGAGATGAATGTTTTGGGGGCTTCTTTCCAGTATTTGCCAACTTCTGCCTGCCTGAGTCAACCCTTTCTCTCTCAGCCAGAAGCATGCACAGCTTCCCATTACTGTACTCCCTCCTTGTCTGCAATGGCCTAATGGTAGCTGCACAGGAAAAGGTTCAGAAGCTGCCCAAAGAAGAGGAAGGGAGCCCTGCTCAGATACGCATCCCACAGACTCTCTCTCGAGGTGAGTGACCCGGACGCATGAGGCAGCCCTGAAGTAGTCGTATTTCCCCTGTCACAGCACCTAGCATGTACCTCCAACCGCTCATCCAAGCAGGATATGTTCTGAGAGCAGCAGCTGGGAGCCCTGTTGCATTCAGTAAGGGAGAAATCTTCATGCTCTGTACTTGGGAACAGGCACAGATTCTTTGCTCCAAACCTGGGCTGAGGATGGAGCCAGGAGCCAGACTGTTAGGCTGGCTGCTGATCAGCTTTTCAGAAGCTGCGCCCAACAGGCAGCCCCACCAGCAGCTCCTAACCCTCCCAAAGCACACTAAGTTGGCAGGAGGCTGCAGTCTCAGAGCCAAGCAGCAGCCAGCTCAGTCTTTCTGCTGTCCTTTTTCCTGCCAGCATCATAGGTCAGCAGGTACATCCCCTTTCCACGAGTTATGCAGCTCATGAGCAGGGCACTGATTGGAAGGGGTTCCAGGCTCACATCCAAGCTTTGCTCCATCAGGTGAGCACATCCAGGCACATCATGCCAAAAGCATGCTTGAATCTCTACCCACCCTAACGCCAGCCCATCAATCCCTTACTGCAGGATGCAAACAGGGAGCCTGGGTTGGCTTTTTGGGAGGGTGTTCAGGGAGGAACTCAGGGCCTCAGTTTATGATGGGCTGGAAATACCTGTCTGTAATCCTAATCCATCATCCGAAACCCAGGAAAGGTGGCACTTCAGCTCCCTCTCCCTGTCATCTGTTTCTTTATACCTTTCTGCTTGGGACTCTCCTGGTACCCACAAGAATTTGGAGGGTCTGGCTACCCTGTAGGAAGGGGTGTAGTTTGTGGCACCTGCACTCATGTGTGACTTTCAGCAGAATGTCCTCATCCAAACTGAGCAGTAAGTTAACTAAAGATTCTTTCAACAGGCTGGGGAGATGACATTGAGTGGGTGCAGACATATGAAGAAGGTCTAGCACGTTCAAAACACAGGTAATCCTCCATTCTTCCTATGCCTCGTCATACATTCAACAAAACAGAACAAAGCTGTGCTCTAACATGGTGCTCAGACTGGGCACTGTGCAAGCAGGGTTCACCTGTATGGTAGAGGCTGAAAAAGATTTTGGTGGGAGCTCACCTTCTGGGAGATCGTTTTCTAGGGCTGAGTCTCACATCCTTCTCCAAATCTTTTCTAATCTGCTGCCCTGGAGCAGCAGGTGGTTTTTCTAACATGCTCCTGGAGCAGCTCAGTGGTTTAACTCCTTACAAGTGCTGTTTGTAAGAGCCCTGAATTGCCTCCCCACTCCTTTCTTGCAATGTCGTTTCAGCAAGAAGCCACTGATGGTTATTCACCACTTGGAAGAGTGTCCTTACAGCCAAGGTGAGCAAAGCAAACCTTTCCAGACAACACTGTGGATCAAAATCAAAATCTCTGAAGCCATGCATATTCATGATGTGTTCTGTCACTGAGAAGGAAATCTCTCCATACACCAGCATTTCAGTGTCCCAAGGACTAAATGCCTTCTGCATTTTACTTTACTACAACCAATTCCTCCAAGCTTTGCGAAATGCACATGTCAGAAAAGTCTTGCTTTACTGGTTGGTTTATGATCAACTTCAGATACTGCAAAACCATGAAAAGCAGTGATCCTTGGTTGTTGCTTTATTTTTATTTTTTTTGTCTTCCCCCACCCAAATAAAGCTTCTTTTTTTAAGCTTTGAGGAAGGCATTTGCTTCCAGCCCAGAGATCCAGCAGATGGCCCAGGAGGACTTCATCATGCTTAATCTTGTGGTAAGCTTGTAATTTAAAATATTAATCTAAATGTTTACCAGGGAGTGGAATAATCCATATTAATAGTAGAAATGGGTTCACTTTGCACCGCTTTGAAGCTGCATTTGAAACTCTCTGGTTTTCTGCTTCTCTGTGAATGTACAACAGGGTTTGCAGAACACCAGCACAGCTCCTCCATGGAGAGAGGGCAGGGAGACTCTTTCATACACACACTAATTGGTATGGAAATACCATTCTGTATACTGCAAACACAAGTAATACTCTGAAAACAGGTGGATTTTTATTATTATAAAAGTCATCAGGCTTTCTTGGTTACCTGCCTGGGGTTTCTGTCCTCCCCAGGCATCTAACACGGGACAACTTGAACAGAACAGGGTAACTCCCCACTTGATCATACCAGAATTGAAACTAGCTTAGCTGGTTCAGTCCATTTCTAGCACTTGGAGGAGCTTTTTGACAGTTACCCTTCACTAAAAGAGCCTATCTATCTGACAGCATTCCAGCAGCGATGACAACATGGCACCCGATGGCCATTACGTCCCTAGGATCCTCTTTGTGGGTGAGTCTCTGGGTCCAGGGGAGCAATCACAATAAAACAACCATCTGGCAGCATTTTGTCCTGTATGGTCCCCACTAAATTCATGTTGCTCCAAGTAATAGCTTACGTTCTTTTCAGCACTAAAGCTATGAGAAAAGCCCAGACTTTCAAAAGGAACATCTCATGTTGAGAAACCCAAATCAGGCCTTATTTTACATTACTTCTTTAGCAACTAAAGTCAAACATCCAAAAAACACTACCACCTTTTTAAAGAAAAAAACAGGACCATGACAGGCTCATTCCACTGGTGGAAACAAACAGCATGTCACTCGTATTTACAACGAGCATACATCCTCTAAGAGTCTGGTCCTGTCTGTGACACTGTGCCACATCTGAACACAGCCCCTTACTATAAGCCTGTCCTCAGATGAATGGTGGGGGCTCTGTCCAAGCCTGGTGCTTCAAGATTACCTTTCGCTGTAAAAGCCCTCAGATTTTTCTCTTCCCTTATTATTTGCCATTGCCTCACTTCATAAACTGTGTATTACTAATGTCCTGCATTTTTTTTTTCTCTCTCAAGACCCTTCTTTGACAGTTCGAGCTGATCTAACAGGCAAATACGGGAACAGGATGTACGCTTACGAACCAGAAGATATTTCGACCTGTAAGTGAAATAAACTGATTCCCTTTTTAACCACCTAAAGTTTACACAAAACAAATACAGGTAAAGGAAGGCTATGTAAAAGAATCTTGAGAATTACTGGGTCAGTTTCCGTAGTAAAAACCGTTCTCAGAACTTCAGAAACAATGTAAATTTATTCCAAGCATCATCTGGGAAGACAATATTGAATATTTCTGAAGAACAGGGCACTAAACTATGGGGAGTTATCCTTGGTGTCTGAACCTCTGAGGACTGTTACGGAACTGGTGGAGTTTTCAAACACTGTAGTTTTGCCCCCAAAACCCACCTGCAGACTTCAGTGCGCTGCTGCTCTGCTTCATAATCTGAACCACTGAAGTTGTTTCAGTCCGGTCCTAGGGGTAAACAAGGTTTAAAAATACATACTCCACTGAGAACTGAAGTTAATGCCTATGGGTTGGTGTCTCTACACTCCCCTCTCCTGGCTGTCCACTTCATCAACACTTAGAAAACTGCTCTGTTCTGAGGTCCCAACCCCTAGATCATAGTAAATTGGGGTGAACCAGATTCAAAAACTATGGGTAACAAAACAAACCCATTTTTCCATAGACAAGCAGGATAACAACGAGGCTGTGATTTGGGTTCACAGTCCTCTATTTTTTCCAGTTCAGCAGTACACAGATTTTTGTCTGGCGCTCAGACAAAGCTTTGAAGCTCAAAGGACACCTGCAGAGGAACACAGAAAACAACATCTGTGCAACCTGTGAACTGCACTAAATGAACCCCAATCAGTATTTCAATGGCACTTTGTCACTCGACTACTAAAACAGTGTATTTGTTACCAAAAGTAGTCCAAAAAAAAAAAAAATCTCTCAAGCCAGTTATTTAATATTTTCTAGCAGCTAATTCCAGTCAAAACTTTGTTGCTGAGACAAAATAACTAGTCAAAACTACCCATTAAAATTAAAAGAAAGTAACATTAAGACTTTTTAGAAGTCCAGCTGTCCTGAATAGCTTTAATTTCTGATTTTTGAGCTCTACAGATATAGGAACCTCTCCTGTCACCTTTAGTAACTTCAATGCTCTCTCCACAGTGATTGAAAACATGAGACAAGCAAAGTTGCTTCTGCACACAGAGCTCTGAGCAAGGGGCACCAGTGACCTGCACATACACAGGCTGGAGAGAGCAGCCCCAGGAGCGCTGAGGAACACAGCAAAGCAGACGTGAGCTGTCCTTGTACCTTCCCTCAGAGATGTTTACAGAGAAGCCACATTCACAAGAACTCCGTGCATCCTACATCCAATAGATGCAGGGAATGAATCATTACCCATTTATTCTTAAGAAGCGGTTTACTTCAATGACTTTATATTCATTATTAACAGAAAATAATTTTGTCTACAAATACTTCTTCACCCCAATTACAAGTTTGAAAAGGATACTTATATTATAAATGCATTTTCTAGGTTTGCCCTGTGACTGACTAGCTTACTTGTACTTGTAGAAATTGTGCTGTGGAAAAACTGCTCTTTTCTAAGCCACAGGTCTTTTAGTTTGGGGTTATTTTTCATTTCCACAAAGGAGCAGAAGCAGTTACTGAAAAAAAAAAAAAAAAACAATTGGTTTGAAAGCAGACAAAAGTTCCAATGACATTTGTGAAGAAACCAGGGCTGAAGACGTCATCTGTTTCTCTTTGTGCCATTTCATCATGAACTATATCAGAATGTAAGCTAGATATGGCCATCATATCCTGATTTTACAAGATCTAAAGTTTTTGTTTTGCTTTTCTCAATACAGAAGCCTACATTATACACACCTTCACAGATTTTAAATGCGCATAGTAATAAACAAGCATAAAATTACATTAAGAGACACACATTTTACATTATCACTTCGTGAATTGCCATGCTCATTACTGTATATTTCAAAAATGGTTTTATTATTATGTTAAAGCTTTCGCTGTATAATTTAAACAATAAAAAAGAGTCAAACTACTTGCTTTCCAATTTTTTTTTTCCTTTTTCACATTACATTACATGTATAGCCAGTAAAAAAGTGAACTGTAGAACTGAATGAATACCTGTTATTAGAATTACATCATTAACAAAGTTCACTGAGCAAACTAGGTCTAGGAAATAAAAACCAAGAATTCATAAGTCACAAGTAAATTCTGACTGGAGAATCTTTAGTGGTCCTATACACCATCCTCAGTGAGAATTCACTCCATGCATACCTTATAGCTAACAGCTGTAACGTTTCTGCAGAAACATTAAAGTTTATTAGTGTTACACATTTGTTAAGAAACCTAAACAGGCATCAATTTAGCAAACCATGTTGGCTGTACCTAGTTAAAATGCAAAAAAGAAAAAAAATCACATCCCATCCCTGCTATGAGCATCCAATGGGAACAAAATAAACCATGCTATTAAAATCCTTCCCTTTAAGAGCCAAAGGAAAGGTGGGCAGAAGAGTTAAACCTGTGTTTTTAATGCCCAAAGGAGTTTAATTCACAGAAGTCACCCAGGAGCTGTTTTACACCCAAAACGTGGATCTGGCCAGCGATGGCCAGCTGTATAACCACCAGCTGGATAACCAGCTGCAACAGAAGACAGTAGAGAGCAGCGTGGTTACTGTGCTCTCATCATCTGTCACATTTAACACAGATCACATGCACTCAGCAGTGATCAGCATTCCTGTGAACACTAGGAAAAACGTGACCAAAGAAGAGTTTGAAGGCAGGACCTGTCTTGGTGGTGGTCACTGGGGAAGATCCTGGTGGATCTGCGTGAATGATTCTGCCAGCACAGAAAGGGAGAAGGCTCCTCAGAGCCCCATGAGCAATAAATGCTCAGGGCCTGGGGCTATAGCAGAATAAATGCACACAGGAAACTAAAAGTGGTTAATTGGTGGAACAAAAAATATTTACTGAACTCCAGCAGAACTTACCGCTCATATGCTTTTTTTTTGTTTTTAAAATGTTTCTCCCTGGCAAATAGAAATTTTAGCAGAGCAGGTGTGTAAGCCCCACTGATCACCATATGAATATAAACAGAGTAAAAACTTGTTTGAGGTCCAGTTAAAGTCTATAGGAAAGCTTTGTAGTGCAAGGTTTTGGAGATTTGTTAACCAAGAAGCTGCATCTCTCTTAGCAAGAGACATCCAATCCAGCAAGATTGATGCCCTTAGAAGCCACAAACAGGCTTAGATAAAACAGGAGCAATGGTACTTGAAAACTGCATTCAACAAAACAAAGCTGATGGGGCTTCACTTACCTGGCTGTAACACAGATCTTTGCAGGGATCTTTGAGATTACTGTGTCTTCTGCATGCCTGCACATAGTGCGCTGCCAATTCACTCCTGACCAAGTGTCAGTCAGTTAAAAAATAATAATTTAGTTGTTAGCTTTTTAGATACTGGCTCTAGGGCTAGGAGCTCCCATGTTTTGGTTTCTCTAAGCTTGCGTGCAAACTCATCTTGTAGAGAGCCCTTGGGTATGGCAAGGGCTGAAGACTGAATTTGCGTGTGCTGGTAAAATCCCCAAACTCCAACTAACCACACTAGAGGGCACTCCCAGCACCCCTTGCTAGGATTTTTTTTTTTTTTTTTTTTAAAGTTTGTTTGCTTTGCTGGGCAAACAGCAAAACCAGAAAGTCCCAGAATTGAGCAGCTTCCTCCAACTACAGCCACCCTTGGCCATCACTCACCCATCCCAGCTACACACACCTGTGCTACCCTCTGTCCTTCTTGTACCTGCACTACCCTTCACAACACTGTGGCTCTGTTCAGTGGCTTCTGAGGGAGAATTAGAGAGAGAATGAGCTTGCTTTTTAAACTGTCCACTTCTTCCTGTTCTGTAATCACTTCAGCACACTGGAGCGGAGTGAGTTCTGAGAAAAAGGGAAAAGAAAAGCATTCCCATAATAAGATCCCTCAAATCAAGCACTTTCTTTTTACAAGGACTTTACCTGGATCTGCTACCCAAGACAACTATTCTTCAGCAATCTCTTTCTTACTTTGTGCAGAGGTACTGTTCTCTGGATGATTTATGCAACTTCTCTTGAAAAATATATCAGATTAATATATCTGTGTGCACACACATTATTCTAGCTCCCAGCTACTGTATGTACTGGAACGTGCTTTCTGAAAAAGGAGAAAACATAAGTTAAAACCATCAACTTCCACCAAAATTTCAACCCCAGCTGGGTTGGGGAAACTTCTTGCACCAAGATCAGAATGCAGGCTTCCAAAGAGATTTGAAAATTTAAGCTTAATGAATGTTTTGCCCTGTCCAGCATTAGAAAATAATTCATGCCATTCCCAAACATATCAGTGAAACACATATAGACAAATCAAATAGACATCTATAAATCACTCTTTATTTTGTGAAGAACACTTGAAAAATAAAGACAAAAGCTTTTCCAGGCTTTGGAATATAACCATCACAAACTGTGGAATCACAAAGACTCCATTTTAAAAAGGTATTCCCTCTCCCCACCCTGCTTTTAATGAACCCTCATTGTGGAACAGTCCACAATAACTTTAACAAAAAAAAAGAAAGCATTTTGAGCCAACATTAGAAATAATTCAATACTGGTTCAGTGCAGAAGCTGCTACATTACACTTCAAAGGCACATACTAGGATCCCCCCCCCGCGTTAGTCCTTGTAATTCATATTTAAATTTCTTCAAACCTCACGTTTTCAAGAAGAGACTAGTTATTATGAAGTAGTTGGGAAGGTTAAGCCCAATACAGCTGTCCAGCATGGAACTGTAGGAAATAAAGTGACAGCACAGGAAGTGCAATGCAATGCACTTGCAAATAAAAAAGTTTTCTCCTTTACCTTACTAATCAGCATGTGCCACAGTTTCTGTAAACCTTGGCTCACAAGACGACTTGCTGACAGGGAGGAAGGTTTCACAAAATAAGTTGGATACAGCAAGCTGAGTTGGAGAGAAAGAAATTGGTTGCCCTCAACTCAATCAGAAAAAAAAAAAATCTATGAAAGTAGGATTCCAGGAGTTCAAGATTCAAGTAAAGCCCACCTATGACCAGAAGAGTTAGGAAATTAAAATACCCCCTTGATTGACACATCATAAGAAAGCACAGAAACTGCTGAATTTTAAGCCTATCAAAAGGATTAAAGACTAATCACATGCTTCAAGATGAGGTACTTTTGACTTTTCTTCCCTTTTATTTTGTTCATACTGTCAGTTTGTCTTGAAATTGTCAAAAATACCAGCATATTACTAATCTATATTACTAATCTACGAAAGGTGAAGTCAGTGAATTTTCTCACATTAGTCAAAATTTTAGTAGTCTGCTGTACTCACATCTTCTACAAAATCTTCTCCATACATGAAACAGATTAAACACAGTAGTGTCCAAAAATTACTTGCATTTTGTTCACCCTGGATACTTCAGGCGATGTTGAACAGTTGTTTTTAAAAGTTGCCTTGCTCATTTCAAAAGATTTCCAAACATTTGTGTAGTTCAACGAGGCTACGTAGTGTGTTTAATAGCAGACTCCGTTTGATACAATAATCAATTTGCACAGGTTCCCAGCAGCAAAAGGCAAACACATTACATGCCATCAGCATTTTACTGCTGCATGGAAATGCTCGTGTTATCTTCCGCTATTCTATGGTCACCTTATCATTCATAGTGTGCTTAGAATTTGATTATAAACAGTTAATTCCATTAAGAGTTTGAGTACAACTAGTACTGACAATTTAAGCCAAAGAAAATTCTGAACCTGATGGGAAATTAGGTAATGAATAGGCATGTGCAGTGGGGGAACACAGTGTAAGTATTATAAGCACTAGAAAAGTTTATCTGAAGATGCTAAACATCAACTTTTAGTAAACCCTGATTCCCAGCTTCAGGGGTAGGAAAACACGGTCTCATTAGGTAGTTACAGGCACTCTCAATCTTGAGAACCAATCTTACAAGCATTTAGTAAACATTCCACTTCACATTTAAGAACCTTTGATACTGAGTTCAGCTGTTTGTTAGTGGGCTGCCTACGTGCCCTTCTATTGTGAAGGCTGTAAATCAACCGTCTGACTCCAAGAGAAACATTTTTCCTCAAGTGTAACAAATATTAGCCTTTTTCCTGAGTACACTAGAACTCATACAAGACCAAACAACAGGTCCGCCCAAATTTTCCATCCTTTTGTTTAACGAAGCTTGTGAATAATAAAAAACCACAAGCAACTTTAAAATGTAGGGCTACTGCACTACTATTTCATATCAGAAAGGGTCTTCAGGTTTAAGTGCTTGACAAATTCTGAACTTAATCCTTTCTTAGTCAGTTTACTACCCTTTGTCCAGAGACTTCCACATTTCCTTCATTCCTGAAATCGGATTCGAGTTACTACAGATTTAGGTTTATATATAAACAGACAGAAGTAAACTCTGGTATCGCTAGTAACTTTAGTGATCAGAGAGGGAAGAATAACTTCTAAAAAGATATGTTTATGACCGCATTAAAAAAGGAAGCAAACTTCGTAGTGATGGTGCAAGACATCAGCATCAGACAAAAAAGAGCATTTAGGGTGATTATAAAAAGTCACCAAAAGGTAATACAATATATTATTCATTTTTCTCATGAATAAAGTGCATTTACCTAGCCTGAGAGTAAGTACCACATTGACAAAGGGATGCAAAAGCACTTCCAAGAGAGATTAGAAGAAAATCAGTTATCTTAAATCCTATATCCAGTTTGTCTCGGTGATTCTTGAAGACGCTTTGAGAACAAGCATCCCTCTTGCTGGTCCAGTTGAGGTACTCCAATTCAGTACATCGGCAGTAGGTTCTTGTCAGCAAAGCATCTCCTGTGCTATCTGAAAACTCCCACATTGATAGAAAGAGCCACTTCTGGTTTACGTTGCTTAGTATTCAGTTTTTCCTCAGACAAAACATGGTCCTGTAAGCGTTCAGCTTGCCGACTGTTTAAAAAAATTAAGATGCATGAAATTAGTATGAGCCTTAGCACCTAAAGCAGAGCGAGACAGCAGGACTGGAAACCCAATTTCCACTAAATTGTAAGAATGATACTGCCAGTTCCCACTTATGACATCCATATGGCCAGTGCAGCAAAGGAGTTCATTTTTCATCTCCAGAGGCAGTGTCAAACTGTCCAGCGTATTGCAAGAATAAAAAAAACTAAGGTAGGAACATGGCACTTAAAGCCAGAAGATCTGAGCGCTTCTTTTGGCACTACTAAAATTGTACACTAACAGCTAGCACTGTCCCAACAAATTACCCAGGTAATAAGGTACTCTGAAAAACTAGATTGTAAAGAACAGCTCTCACATTTCTGAACAAAAATCAAAGTAAATATTCAATACCTTTTCTTTTTTTCTAATGCAAGCTGCCTTTGTTTCTCCTTTCCAAGATCGTCTCTCACTGTGCTGAAGTCCTTACTGTCATCAAGGAGAAGATTCTGTTGTCAAAAAGAGATTGAGTGTATTAGCTTATAAATTCCATCCACCAAAACTATTTCCTACATATCGATCAATTTAAACAATAAAATTAAGGCATTTCCTTTAATTTTACAGCAATTGATTTCAATGCAGATGATTTAAAAAGGCAAAAAAAAATCTTCAGCCCCTCTGAATTAGCCTTAATCAGAAGTTTTTCTCAATACTCTGATACATCAGAATAGGACACCAGACCTCTAGCACACTGCCTGATAATTCAGCAAGTATGTTCTTTCAGAGGTCTCCTAAGTTAGTTTTATTACCAATTCAGAGCTCAATATACTGCTATGTAATTTAAGTACTTAAATAGATCTGTAGTAATTATTTGGGAAATGCAATGGATTTAAATTTAGGATATGTTTTTAATGGGCACTGTTCTTGGATTTTATTCTCAGTTGAAAAAACAAAATGAGGGCAAGAAAAAACTCAGTTTCTTCTGGATAGTGTTCAAGCACAGAGCAGAAACTGACTGTCTTACACTGGCCAAGAGAGCACTCCACAAAAACCTCTAAGGTGTTGCCCTCTAGTGCCAGTAGCAGGACATAAGGGAGGAAAAGCATGGAACTTCCACAAATGGTTAAGAACAGGAAGAAAAAAACATCAATACCAACAAGGTTCCCCCCTTTACACTACGCGCAGTCCAGATTCTTATGTTAAAACTTTCACAGCAATGTAGCAGGATACAGGAAGACCAGAATGAATTTGATTAACTGCAGAGGGGACAGTGTCCGAACCTAATCCTTGGGCAACAATTAAAGCCACATTAATTTACCTTCACCCCAATGGTATCTCCATCTTTCAGATGATAAGGTGCTGACTGTAAACTCTCCTGTTTTTTCTTCCGTTTTCTCTTTGAAATTTGCTGAGTCTGTATAAAAATCAAAGTAGAACATTCATACACAGCTGATTTCAGAAATTTGTTTAAACTGACATTTGCCAGCAGTCCCTAAACGTGTAGGGTCCCCACTAGCTATTCTTACATAATCAAGAGTCCTATTGTCATGAAAATTAAGTCATTTTGTTTTTTGTTGCTTCCTCATGAGAAAAATACTTATTTCTCTTTCCTCTACCACACAATCTCTTGCAGCTCACCTATACGAAGTAAATGACACTTTGTGATCAGGGACAACTCTCAGCCAAAGGACTTCTTGTATAGTGAAGAGAAACATTCTGATTCTGTTACTTCTACAGACATCTTTCATTTCCATTATCTAATTGCAACAGCAATAGATTGAAAAATTCAAGTGAAATATACATTAACATAACACCCATACTCATGAACTGCAACTAAGTAATGTTTTTCAACCTATACAAACAAATTCAGTAGTACATGAAAAACCTTGAATGAACTACAGATTTATCCTCTGCCAACCACAACTACTCTTAACCGCATAAAAGTCTTTTGGGGGAACTTGGCAAAATTGCAAGTTCCAATGACTTGTGGGGTAATCAAATATCCTGATGTCTTAGCTATAATTTAACGAAGTACCTAACAGACCCTTAAAGAAATAAACCACTTCCACCAAATTTACCTCACGTTCACATTGCAGGAAGATAAAGATGTGCATTCAAATATGCATGCTGAAGAACTGTAACACAAACCAACACATACATTTCTCAAAACAACTGCTAGATTCTGTCATTCCAGATCTTACCCAGCTAGATATTGGCAGCCACTCAAATTTTTCAGGGAAGTATTTGGCTATTTCAATTTTATCTACAGGGAGACAATAGTGAGAAGCCACTCTTTGCCTCAGTGACCAGGTAGTGCATTCTTTGGAGATATCCCACACCAAATCCACGGAGTCATAGTAGTCCCTCTCCCCTGGTATGCCCATCTGTACTCGAAGCAGCAGTTCATGTGGGCTGTCACAAGAAAGAAAAAATACTCCTGTGAATCATGCTTTTAGAATCCAGAATAACTAGTCTTCATTGCCTCCCACCATCCCTTATTTTAGCCAACAGCTCTACCAGAGGAAAATAAAAGCATTCAAGCACAGCGACATCTGTAATCTTGATTGAAAGTATTTCAGTAAAAAGCTGCTAGATTAAGTCACATCTCAAACACATGGCAGTAAGAAGCAAGTGTTTTCAAGACTTACCCCAAGTTTTCTTCTTTTTGCAAAGGTTCTATGCAGATTGCCACTCTGGCACCCAGTTTATATTCACTGAAAACAAAACAAAGATTATACACATTTTCAGTCATGTATTCTAAGTTCACAAGTAGAAAAACTCATGCTTCTAGTCAAGTAGATCCATGCTGTTCTGAACCAAAACAAGAGGCTATTGGAACACAAAAAAAATCAGAAAACTGCCAAAACTGCTTTTAAAAATATAAAATAAGGCTTAGCATAACAAGTGTGATATGATCTACTTATGTTCACACTTGCCCATTCCATACCACTTGAGTTGAAAATTGTGTTGAGTAAAAACTTGAAATAACCAGAGATGGGCTTTATTTGGCTGAGCCGATTTACGTCTCCACCAATCCATCTCACAATTCAGTCAGTCTCTTGCAATACTACTTGAGTGTTCAATAAGAAACCTACTTGAGTTGCTGCTTGTTGTGTCGTAAAAGCTTGCCTGGGCGCTTACTTTCCACTGTCCAGGCTCTGAGAAATGTGGGCAGTGGGACAACGTGCTCCTGACAACATGGTAAGGTCATAGCCTGAAAAAACAAACATTTCTTCAATAACTTCAGCAGCCACTCTGCTTGGAAAGAAAATGATTCTCAATGCTATACTGAAGCAATTAGACACAGGGCAAATTATTTAGACTTATTCCAGCTTTTGACTCACAGGTAGTGAGCAGGATCAACATATTTGCTTTACGACCTCAAAGCGAGTTGACCTTCACTCCCTCCCAACACTTCTCAATTTTTCCTAAGTTTCTAAAGTATCATTTAAATTTTTTTATTTTTTTCTCCAGCCAAAATTTGTGTAACTGGGAGGGAACGAGGTTGACAAAATCATTGCCATGATCAAGTGCTGTAAAAAGCTTCCTTAAGCCCTTATTGAGCACACAATACTGTTTCCATGCTAGGACAAATCTTGTTCATAAGATGCAAATGGGCAGTTTTGCACAGCAGCAGTTTGGATGAGACTGTGAAACTGAAGTCATAACCAAAATGGCAAATACTGGTATGGATCAGAAACTGGAGAAATATCCTTTCCCATGCCGTTAAGTAGAACGACCAACTGGCTAAATAATAGAGTCTTACAATAGTTGTTTGTTTTTTTTCCCCTTTAAAAGTTTATTAAACTTTTGTTTTTCTGGTTAAAAAAAGCATTAAAAATCACCTTAGTTTCTGGCCAAAGAAACTAAGCTATATTTCCCTGAATGACAAACATGACCTTCTGTGCATCTAAAGCAATTTTTTATTCATTAGATTCAACATACAAAAAAACACGCAGAAAACTAATACAAGAACAATGTGGAAATGAAAAGTGGCTTTTGGGGAGTGCTTGTATATGTGTTCTTGTCATGAATAATTTGTACATTGTGAAATAAAAATAGGGCTGCAAGCCAAAGTTCCAGATGAAGTGCAAGAAAGGCTTTTGCAGCTCAGGACACATGACAGGTAGAATGGCAACTGCAGGGAACATACTAAGGAATTATCTGAGCTACATGCTCAAACTGCCTCTTGGTACTTACCACTGAACATGGCATATAAGCAAATGCCATATCAGAACATACTAGAGACAAGGGAAAAGGAAATAAAAAATATGTATTAATATAGCTCAATTAATCACAGTGTTGCTTTACATTTCCAACAGGAGAGCATCTAACCTGCATCTTCAGATCTTCCAAAGTGGCTTCGCCTGCTATTTCTATACTGCCAGCGTAACACAGATCCGTGTCTGTTTGGATGCATTCTGGTGAGTCTTTAGATGGGGGCAGGAGGGGAAGAGGGAGGAAGAAAAACAACAGTAAAGTGAGTATGACATTGTCCATGGTCCTAAGAGATGGGTCACTTGTAGGTGAGATTTCACTTTGATACCTGACCTAAGGTTTTTTTATGGTAGTTTAAGAAACCTACTGAAGTCTGTAAATAGTATTAATTAGTGGTTATGACTCTGAAATACAGGGTGTCTTGCAAGGAAAATTAAAACTGTTCTTACCTACACTACTGGACTCAACATGGAAGTCAGACTCTGACAAAGCTTGAGAGAAAAGGAGGAAAAATGGAAAAACAATCTAAACTTCTGCAACACAGCTCAGTAGCAAAGGAAGAATTTACTCTTACTATAGAGAGGAAAATTGGTTAGTTTTCCCTTTTCCAATTTGTTGTTTCCCCAACTGCTTTTCTCCTTCCTTTTCAACCCTGCATGTAAATGTAAAATTCACTCATTCTCCAGCTTCTCCAAAATCAATTTATCTTGAAGTGAGACAAATGTGACACCAAGAATCTGACATTTGAAGCCAATCACATGCATGCGCTTTGAGTTGATGCCTTATAATACTGCCACTGCCTTAAGTATGGAGAAGCAATTTTATTTGCTAGCAGGTAAACAGCCCAGGCTTCAAGCTCTAATGAAAATCTTTGTCCTTGACCAAATATAGCAAAGAAACATAAGTCCCATCCAGCACTCTTGGTCTAATAAAAAATTAGATCTCTTATGTGTCTCCTTTCACCATAAGCTTACTGAAACTTGTACAGTTGCTCACAGGTTTCAGGAGGATTTTAAAGGTTTGGATTAAAATTTAGATTTTTGACCAAAAGCCCTCATTGTTATCACAGGCAATACGACTCCTTTTGAAAACTGATAAAGCTCACCTCCAGCAGGAGACACCTGCAAATCGTCCATCCTGCAGGCCAACCCATTCACTTGGTCTAGTCCATTTTCTCCATGTTTCATATGGCTTGAAGGCTTGAACCACCAGATGGGAATTTTCAGAAAGCCCTGAAAAATGAACAGAAAATACCAGTCAGCCAATGTGTTCCAGTGCAAATTAAAATTTTTTACCTTCCTCTGGTGAAGAAGGAAAAAAAAACTCGTTCAAGTCTGAGTTTTTGTAAAGATACTGGCATTCTTTTTACAGGGACTACTCAGTGAAAAAAAAACAAAACAGCCTCATATCACATGCTATCACCATCCTGCTCTGCCATATGGCATCTAACATTATGTTTTCAACTGACTGACATTTGTCTGGAGATCCAGACATAAATATGACCTTACCAGAGGAATCTGTATTCATTTAGCTGCAACGTTGTTTTGCCAGTTCAGAGATGCTCCTGATTTTCTTACCTGCTTCTTTCTTAGTGTCCCTTCCTGGCTGGAAGCAGGTAAGTGGATGTTTCCCTCTTTTTCTGAGCAGGATATAGGCTTTATTTCTTCTCTTCAGATGCAGCTCTGAACTGCTCTATTACCACCCATTGTACTGTTGCAGTAAGTTCTTATCCTACATTTTTGTCCTCGCAATAAACTATGCTAAAAGTATCTGTTTTTCTTTGAAGAAGCTTTATTCACCACAAAATTGCTGAGACCTCTACTACATGCTCAGTGCTTCTTGTGGACTTCTAGCCTCCAGTTTCAACTTACAATGCTCTATATCGCTTGAGGTTTGCTTGTGTAGAAACCTTCCATGACCATTGCTGATGACAGTTTCCCAGCAGGGCCCTCCACTTTCAAGCACAACCATCAGTACAAAATCTGACTTTAAAAAGAAACACTTAAATTCCTTTATTTTTTTAAATGATTTTATGAGGAAATAGTAGCATAAGAATTGTGCCTTCACAAGAACCTTGCATTCCAGAAATACTGGTTTCTTCCAGATTTGCTAACCTTGACTCTTCTAGACAAAGCTGCTGCAATGGCTAATTTTTTATTTTTTTTAAACTACAGAAGGTTAGAGCTGTAAAACTACAAAAAGCATTATTATTTCTGACTAAAAATATTTCAGTTGAAAAATTCTAGAATAAGCAAGAGAATAATTTACTTTCCTATTCAAGTATCAAGATGCAGTCACCTGACTAAAGGACATAATTTGTTTATTTTTACCTTTGGTGGAAGCTTTCCTTCAGTTATAACCAAAGTATCTCCTCTACAAACATTAAGCTCCTTCAGAGTGGCATTCTGCAGGAAGAGAAAGCATAGTTGACTTAAGTCTACATGTTCTTGTGCTTCGTTTTCTAAATTATGGTTTATCTTTTTATGCAATGTGTGCCAAAAAGTGTTTTGTTTTTCCACATCCACCATTTGGAGATAACTTTGCAGCAGGACACAACTATTACATTTACAGGAGTCTGCACTGCAAGAGCCCTTCCAGTGCATCCTGCTGAGCTGCACATTTCCTTCACACCTCTTACCAATTAAGATCTCATGTTTATTTGTAACGTATGCGTGCTAATCCTAGACTTCAGAAAAAACTATGTGGATACGGCTTAAAAATAATACCTGAAAACAGGAGCCAGGTGTGTAAGGTTTTCATTGCAACCTATTGTTAAAATGCCTTCATACGGCCTTGTGAAAACAGAACACTGCTGAGTAAAGTAGCACACAAGAACACCACACATTTGCTTTATAGCAGTTCTCCTTGGAAAAGTCTCTAAAGAAAAATGCAACAGACACTTGTGTGTTTCAAGTCAAAACTATCATGTGATTCAAGTCAAAAATAGGATCCTCTTACTTCCTGACTTAATGCTTCCCCTGCTTCATAGCACCAGTCAATCCTTCTCAAATGCCAGCTGTCACCTACCAAAGAACAAAAACACACACGGAAAACTAATTAGCCAACATTACTGTTTCATGGAAGAAAAAACACACATTACAGATCTCTTAATTGTAGTCATAGCTAAGGGTTGTTGCTCTTTTTTTTAAAAAAAGATTTAGCACCTATGCATAAAGCATCAAGTACAGAAGGAAGAAGTACAACTAAACTTTTTAATTTGATTAAAAGATAACAGATGAAAATGCACTTCATTCTTTGCAGAGTACAAAATTTGACTTTCACAACTAAACCAAGCACATAAGGAATCTCATCAATAATTTATGTGGAGAAAGGACTACTTTGCAGTCTTTTTAAACAACATCGAAATTCAGTGAAGCCTGACATTTCTTTGAGAGAAGTCAGATCGCAAAGCTCTACACAAGGCCAAATTTAATTTTCCACAAGCAGTAATATAAAAAGAAAGCAATGAAAACAGAATTACTGTTTCTTGGCAGTAAACTTATACCACAGGGAAATGAAAAAGGTTAAGCATGTATTTAAAACATCATTATGTACTCCACCCGTATGTACATATAAACAAGAACACAATACTTAATTTTATCTTGGGCTATTCAATGTGTATTCTGACAGTAATGTGTTTCAGGTGAACATTTTTTAATGGAGTATGGCTTAACATGCTGCCATCACTCCACCATAACACAAATTCAGCATTTAATGAATGCTTAGAAGTAAAACTAGAAAACACCACCACTCCAAGTCTGTTGTTCTTCCTCCACATCAGCATCAACACAAAGACGTTCAGCCAGGAAATTCACGTGTGATGCAAGTGCTATCTATATCTCTTCCTTAATCCTCATAAAAATGGTCAGTAACAGGAACTCCTACCACTCAGATTCCCAAACAGTGACCGAATTGTGATCTCATTTTGAACTTGTTTTTGCCAAGTGACCTAAAAATGCCTTTTTCTTAGGCAGTTCATCACATGCAGTGGTTTCCAATGAAACTGATGTCTAAACAGCCAAACATCTTCACCTGTACGTGCACCCAACTGTACATTTCAGAAACTGTGGGTTTTGCCATATTGCAATTAAACAAAGCTGGAAGCTGCACAACCAGCTTTTATCAGAGCAAAACCGTAAGTTCATAAATCTTTCCTCTCCCCTCTTCACGTTACAACAACACAAATTATTTTAATAAGTTTTAGGGTACCAAGATCTGTCTTAAAAGCCTGGAAAATACATTATTAAACAACAGTACAACTAACCTGATAATCCAGATTTTTCCAGCATTAAATTTAGACACTGGAAAAAAAGAAAATAGAAACATAAGTTGAGACTTCACATTCTCAATTCATAGGTTGGAAAATAAAGTTTTCAGCAAATCTACACTAAAAATTCCTAAGACACAGAAACAGAGTGACTGATTCCTGCTCAACTCCTAAAAGCAATATAGTTATGTAGACATGGTGCATTTGAGCTAGATATTACACCCTTTAAATAGGGTATTTTTCTCCTGTAGGAAGTTTGTGTCATGTGAGTAGGCTCACACACACTGTTAAAAGAAGTTCGTGCCATCAGTTTGTTGGTTCACTAAAAAGTTCTGCCTCTGAGCTCAAAAATGCACCTTTTAGAAATAAAACCTGCAAAACTCACTTTCTACTACTTCTAAATATCAGCACTCTGGACCAGAAAGAGGGTTTTGCAGTACTTAGGACTGCTTCCCTCACTCTGTCCACAGTTCTTCCTGACTCCTGTCACTCTAATTTCATCCGTTCAGAGTTTGATAAACTACAGAAGTGTTTGCAGCAAAATTGTCTGTAGCAACATGCCTTTAATCCAGTAACCCTCACTAGCTTGTTTTCCATAAGCAATGTAAGATGATTGTCTTAATTCCAAACTCTTTCCAGTCCATATACAGACTACCATCCTCCACAAACGATGCAACTATTGAGTCTGATCGACTGGTCCAAGATAGAGTTATGGTGCTCACTGCATTTTTCTGGATTTTTCTGTTTTGACTGTCAAGCACATTCGAACAACTTTTTGAATACACATTCCCAAAGACACTGCATCATCTTGGTACACTACATTCTATCTCACCTGGACTTGGCCATAATTATCATCAAAAGCTGCCTTGTCCTCTTTGAGCAGTGCTGTCAGTCTAACTTGCAGACCTGTTTTTATAAAACCTAATTGCACAGCATGACTCAAAAGCATGCACAGAGAATCATTCTGGTTGCGTAAGACCTCTAAGATCATTTAGTCCAAAGATTAACCTAGCACTGAGAAATAAATGTAAGCTACCACATAAAAAATTTAACTGGCAGTCTCTGCTATGATTACATCTCGTTCTAAGTATTGCTGTTTATAAAAGGAGTGGCTGGTCACGCATAAAGTAGTGAGACTACATTCATTTGAAGGAAACATGATGTCTCTTTACTATTTGGTGAAAGCTCAAGGCAAGTTCAAACACTTCGTTTGACACAACGTCCCCTGGCAAGCTGAAGCGACACATGGGTACAAAACAAGGTTCTCTATGAGCAGCAGACCTGACCCAAGCATGACATAAGCTTTGAAGAGCATCTAGACTTACTTCTTTCACAGAGGCAGTTTCTTCCACAACTATCTCCATCTCAGGGCCCATATGTTGGTCATGCCCAATAATAAAATATAAGAAGAGCTAAAAAGGCAAGTATAAACTGTTTAGAATACATATTTAAGGACAGAAATACTGAGAGAAAACTCCCTAATGCACTCAGTTATTGCATGCAGTACCAGCTATTGCACTGTTGCCATCCGTCAAACAGCACTGCAACTACAGAGAACAGAGGAGCACATGCAATTGAGTTATGGCCATCAGTAGAGCTTCATTAAGCAGCTGTATACGTGCTTTGCCTGCTGCAAATGAGAGATAAAACCTGCTAGCTTAAGCCCTATTCTGGCCCTTTGATCAGAAATATACAGCTCCCCCACCATATTTATAACTTGCAGATATCAAATATTATCTCCCTTTTCTTACTTTATGCTCTTTTGCTCATATGCACGTGGAAAACTGCAAACAGATCAATTATAACAAGTGATTTACAATTAGTCAAATGAGCTATATTAACTGTTAGTGTATAGGCTCTTGGCCTTGAGCACCTGAGATAAGTGACGTGAACGTTCCTGATAACGTGTATAATTCTTCAGACTAGTAAGCAATTTTTCCCCCATACCAATTATCACTACTACCATTATAAAAGTACAAAGAGGACCACGTGAAATATTGGGAAACATGAACAAAGCAAAAAAGCAGCTCTAGTCCCTTTTCAGTCCCAGCCCTTTTATACCTGTGTGGAAGTTGGAGCTTTTCCCCGGCACAGCCCAAGCAAGCTTCCCATTTTCAGTTCCGCTTCCTTGACAGTATAATCTTCAGGCACTTCAGGGAAAAGAAAATAAGGCAAACATCATAAGCTGCCGTTTCTTGAAAGTATCCATTCTACTATGCTGCTCTTTAGAGAAAGATAAAGTTCAGTGACATTTAAGGAGCTTAATTTTCCACAGTGTTTACATTAGATCCATAAGCCTTCTATCACTAGGGCAAATCTGCATAAAGGTTTCTCCCCACCACCCCTTGTACGGGGTGACAGAAGACTTCAGAAAGGAACAGACATTTCTAGGTTATCTGGCTCAACCTCCTGCTCAAAGCAGGACCAGCTATGATGAGGTTTTCTCAGTCAAGCTCTGAACACTTCCAAGGAAGGCTAACGATGCATCCCTGTGCCCCATTCCTGTTGTTTAACCACTCAGTGTGAATTCCCTTTTCCCTGCTACCACACACAGTGGGAATTTCCCTTGCTGTAATTTGTGTCTGCTGCCTCTGATCCTTTTATCCAATTCTGCGAAGAAACTCTGGGAAAAACCTGACTCCGCCTCCTCCACAGGTCCACACTGAGGAGTTAAAAAAAATGACCATTATTTTCTCCCAAGCCTTCTCTTCAGGCTGGAAAAAAAACCAGCTTCCTTTCTCTCATGTTCCAGACCCCAAACCACCCGGATGCTTTCCTCCAGACTCGCTATAGTTTGTTAGGGTTTCTCTCTCATACTGGGGAGTCCCTAAAACAGATACCACACTCCAGATGTTGTCTGACAAATGCTGAATAGAATGGAATTAATCTCTTTGGCCTCCTTGTTGTACTTTGCTTTAGCAGTGTACCAGTAAGATAGTAAAAATAGAGAAAATATTTTCCAACAAGTGCAAAACTGATCTATAGTCTATAGTCTCTCACTACTGCCTGAACAACAGTGAAAATAAAGCTTCTACTAAAGTTGGTCATCAGAAGCAGGGTTATACAGTGGCAGTAATACTACACATCTAAATCACAGACCAGGTTGTGGCATGAACAAGTTCCTCTATTGCTGTGGATGCAGAAGTCCACACGTTACTCTGTTTAACATCACAGATACAAGCAGCCTTCTCATAGTGAGCAGGAGCATAACAGTGCTTCCTCCATCACCACAGGATTGAAGTCTGTTTCAGCTGCACTAAAATCAAACAATCAAACCTTGCACATCACTTCAAGTTTCCCAATTTAATTTCTTAAAGAATGATACCAAAATAAGTAAATTTACCTGGAGAGAGAAGTTTCCCATTTCCACTAACAGGTCTAAGACAACTGTCACTTGCTGTAACAAAAAAGGGTGCAGAAGAGAGGTTGATATATTAAACAATTCAAATAAGAAATCTGGCTCAGAAATTTAGACAGGTAACATATTTCAGATTAATGACAACAACACGTTTATCCTAGAGGCTTTACTCTGGAGATATTACATCAAGAGGAATGAATTCCTAGGGACTTCACGAACAAGTTTTTATCCTTTCAGTGAAAGATTACTTTCTCTTTGAGGCCACCTGTTAGCCACAATGAGTAAAATATGAAACTGGCCAAGTGTTTCCAAAGACTTTTCTTGGGGAGCTTCAGGAGGCACCAGGACGTGGGGCTGGGCACCCTGCTGGAGCGGGGTTGGGACAGGTGGACCCAGGGGTCCCTCCCCACCTCAGCCAGTCCTGTCATTCTGTGAAATTTTAACATTATCAGATCTATAAGTGAAGCAGTTGAACACTTACCTAGCTCTTCGTCTAGTTGAAGCTCCTGTATTGCTTTCATTTTGATATCTGACATCACCTAGAAGAAAAGCGATATTAACACCTCCGATACAAAAAGCCAATGTCAGCTGTTCAAATGCCAGTCCACAGAAGGTAGCCTTCACTTTACATTCATCCCAGTTATGTTCTTATTCCTGCTAACATTATACACAGCTAAGAAAACATTTCTTTAATATTATCACACAGAAATATGATATCTCTGCATTTATTACGTGCAACATATTTGGAGAAATTTTTCTTATAAAAAGTATTCCAAAGAAAAGAAAATGGTATTTAACTTTTGCATTTATCAAAAGACTAATATTTTGAAAATATTCACTTTGTAAGCAGTACGTTCTGTAACAGGAAATAACTTAAAAGCAGAAAAAGTATCAGAGAAATCCACCCCTTGGCAAAAACAGCATTCCTTTCTTATCCTGTTTTGAAAGGAAGAAATAGTATTTTCTTCCTCTTTCAGGTTTTGTTACTGGCAAAGCCTCAATACACTTACAGGATGTTCCAAAAAGAAAACTGTTTCACACAAAGACACTAGTGTAGACTGCACTGTTTTAAGTTACCAGCGTTATGGTCTTATTACAGAACAAAAATATTCCAGTAGCTTTAACTCCAAGCTGCACACTATTTTCCCTACAGTAGCTTCAGTTCAAATGCTGAAACCAGTCTTCGTTAACCTGCCCAACTGCACTGGCCAAACATCTCAGGGAAATAGCCTGTCTTAAATGCCTGAACAATCAGACTTCTTACTGTTTCAATGGTGGCAGTAATTTTAACGTGTTTCTCTTCATCTTCCGTTCCGCAGAAGTTTTTAACTTGGAGCCAGCTGATGTCGTATGTAAAAGCAGTCAAATTGCCACTTGAAACATTCACAAAGCTGTAAAAATGAGCAGTACAAACATAGTCAAAGACAGGAGAACTTTGTATTATTTGGGCTAGATTGCTAAATACCAACGCTCTTAAATAAATCAAAAATTCCAAGGTCATTAATAGCGACGGCCTCAGGAAGAATCCAGGCACCACTGGGCTGGCCATTGAGTAAACCAGGAAAAACTGTTTTGGTAATTGTCTTTCAATGGAAATAGAGCTTTTGAAGGCACTCAAAGTCACTTTGCGAGGCTGGATTTAAACCTTCGGGAAAAAATATTTTAAAACCATACCAAGTAATAACCAGGCTTTGAGACTTTGTCTGTGTGTGTGCTAGTACACAAACAGAAACAGTTCTTTGAGAACTCACTGATGTAGTTGCAATTTTTCAGAACTGTTTCAGCTAGGAAGTTAGAATTTATATAACAAGAACATACACACATCTCTAAAAACAGGAACCTAACCTCAGGACTATGCACTTAGAAGGGAAATGAGACCAGAAACTTGCCTCTGGCAACTTTAGATTCAACTTGGGAGATTCAGCAGAGCTGAATACTCTTCTGATACTGCACAGTTCTCTCATTCCACCAAGTCTCTCAGATAACCACAAAACTCAAGGCTTAGAAATTCAAGTTACTCCAAAAATGTGCCAGCACACTGGGCACAATTTGTTCTCATTAGGTGTTTCCTATTTAAAGTGTAAAGGATGTGACTGCATCTGCACTTTAGGAGCAGTTGATAAGAGATCCCAAAAACGTTAAGACTACATTATCTTGAATTTAAAAGGTCACAAAATGAAAATTAATTTGAATAATGTACATAGAAACATCTATACACACAAATCTAGCATTATTTTAACTGAACAGGTTTTGACACAACTGCTTTTTTGATTAATCATACTTAAAATCAAAATGGTTACCTCTGGTCATGGCTGTCTAAGATTAGCACTGAACATCCATCCGTCAGACCGACACTTCTGATTGTTTCCTTCATCTGTTCTTCAAGAAGTACTTCCCAGTTCTTGCCTTCTCTATCAGGTCCTGAGCCATTCTTTAAGATGATTCCTCCTGACGGTGCTAAGGCCCTGTGCAGATCCTCCAGTTTTGTGCTGCACGGAAAGATGTGCTGCGATTCTGTGAAGTGTTGACCCTTCCCTCCTTCATTATACTCTGCCAGACGAAGAACGTTTATGATCACAGGTTCATGATCAGGGCCTGTCATCACCTTTATGCCGCCAACCTGAAGTAAGGAATGCACAGTTTATGTAGAGTTCAATAATGCACATTTTTGTAAACAGGAAATACTATCCAGCAGTAAGTGACAACAGCAAAATTATTGAAGCAAAAAAAAGTTGGAACCTCTCACATTAGAAATAAGCCATTTTTGACCAAATTCCTACTGAACAAACAAGAGTAACTCAAACGTACTGGGACAGAAACGCATACTGCTGAAGTCTGTTCCATGTTTGTATGTATAGTAAATAATGTTGGTAACAGTAACTGGGTAAACAGTGGGTGGAAAAATCAGTCTCCACCAATTTAGAATAGCTGACTTTAACCCCTCAGGGTATTAAAAAAATTAGTATGACGGAGGCAGGTGAAGAGTTAGATTTAAGTCTGTGCTTTCTGATTTATTTATTTATTTATTTTTACCTAGGCCAAGACCATAATTACTTACTGAAAACAATCTGATTGTGTAAGAAGCTGGATATACTATATACATATTTGTATATATATACTTTTACAACAAAAAACTGTTTAAAGCAGTATTTTATTCCATAATATAGATGGAGGGCAAACTTCTGCTGTGTTACATAATCACTGAAACAAGCATTTGCAAGTTAAGCAGAAGCCTGGATATTGAGGGGACCCAAAAGAAGCATAGCATTTCAGAGAGACCACATGCAAAAATAGGTGAGTGGTTCACCACAGGGCGTAAGTTATCACATTACAATCAAGTGATCTCCTACCAAGAGGCACCAGATCTTCTCATGGTTGTACTCCACTGTAACTGGCATTGGATACCTACAGGCACCTATTAATCTGACCATATCACGTTCTGTATTCTGCACAGTTCTACCAAGAACCACACTGTACATCACACAGAAGGTTAACAGTGACAAACTGTAAAAATACAGCATTCTAGATGCAGAATTGGTGTCCTCAAAGCCAGTGTTAGCATGTCAGTAGCACAGCTGCAACATAGACTGAAGCTTCCAAAACCATGTTTAGAGACTGCATCTTATCTCTTGGGAACTGAGAAAAAATATTTGATTTTCACTTACCTCTTTCCCATTCCACACAAAAATGTCTGCTCCATCAGCCAGCCCAAAGCAGTCCAGTGTCAGCTCATCTCCTAAAAAGAACAAGACATCAAGCTCTTCTCCCCCAAAAACAGACACGCAGGGTCAGCTGGTAACTGCTATATGCTGGCACATTCTACTCTGGCTCAAGTCCACCACTACAAAAGCTGCTGTGTGATTAGAATTTACAGGGGGTAAGTTAGGGTTCACCCCAGTAAGACAGGCAACAAGAGTAGGTACAGAGTGAAGATGGCCAAAGCACAAGTGTTTCAATTCCATTTACAAATCAAGGCTCACACTAGCAGTTGATAAAGCTACATGGTCAGAATTATCTAGATAAGCTTTAACAGCCAATAATTAGATTTAAAAGAAAAAGGCTGGACTTAACAGGTGAGTTACATACAATGTGTATCATTCATATTCTTTGAAATACTAACATCCACACTGCAATTTATTTTACCTTCCTACCATAAGCCAGATGCAGTGTTTTTTGTTTTTTGTTTTTTTTTTTGTTTGTTTGTTTTGTTTTTTTTAAAGGACCGTCATTTAAAGAACCATACGAAGATCTGAAGCAATAGTGACAGCTCTGAGTGCATCTGCATTTTGATGTCAATATTTTAAAAGCTGTGTTCTGAAAGATCTGAAAGAACTCTAATTTTCTTAAGCAGACCATAAATCCTGTAAAAATCTAAAAATAACCGAGTAGATTTTTGAAGACTTACACCTAGAATTATATGACAAAGCTGGAGATGGAACACTGTTTTAAAATAAAAATTATGTTGAAATTAATGTTTTTATGTAATCATTTACATTTGCACAATTCCTACTTCAGCTTAAGCCTAAATTAAGTTTTTCTTTAGTCATCTCTCTGGCTCTCTCTCTTATCTCCTCTACCTATTAGGTAATTATAATGAAAACAAATACTCATAAGCAAATCAAAGTCAAAATAGAGGCCATTATCTTTTTGTCAGCAAATATACTTCTCCAAGATGTTTTACTTCGGAAACCCTCTGTGTCTTCAATAAATACACCAAACAAATAACACAGAACCCCTGTACGTGATAGTCTTACCATCAAGGATCTCGTAAAGATGCAGTCCTGCTGGTAAAGGTTTGGCATTACTGAGAATCATGTCTCCTTCCCAAGATTCCAGTATCTAATTGGTAAGAAAGAAAGAAAAAACACAGATACAACTTCAATAAGCAGTAACTTAAACCACTCAAAATTACAACTTCGCTGCAAGCTCTTACAGACTGGCTACCAAGCTCACTTCAGCACTTAACAGGTCCCTGCTACTTCTTTCTACTAAACTAGTGGCACAGAAAACCCACAAGCTTTTTAGTACTTGTGCTTTCACACTAGTCACCAGACTAAAACAGTTTCAACTGAATGCTTATTGAATGTTGTACAATATAAGCAAATGATGTTTTCAGGGAGCAAGTTAAGTTCAATTTACATTTTCAAACTCAGGTTGGGCTGGGCTTTGAGAAATCTCATGAGCAGGAGGTGTCCCTGCACATCACTGAGGGTCTGGAACTAAATGGTCTTTCAGGTCCCTTCCAGCCCAAACCATTCTGTGATTTTATGACAGATGGACACTTTGTAAAAGGCTTTTTGTCAACCATTCCTTTAACATAGTAAATACAAAGACACCACTTTTAATACTTAAAAGAAATCTTAAGCTTTTCTTATTTCTTAAACTTCTCTAAGCATTTCTTGTTAAGGCCAGCCAGCTCCTTGAAAACACAAATACATTTAACACTTCAGTTTGTGACATGTAAGTCTAAAGTTTTGCAAAGTGGCTGCCCACATACAAATGATTAGCTTATGAACTTTAAAGTCTAATTAATTAAAGCTTCATCTATCAATCAAAAGCTTTGTCAACACATCAGAAGTTGACCGCAAAGCAATGTTTCCTTCTGTGAAAATCCATATGGCTTTGAGTCTCCTGAAATTACATTCACTGTTAAAAATTTCTCATTGAAATAAAAATCATGACATAGATTCATACATAGAAAGCAGTTGTATCTCAAATAAAATTGAAGTGTTTGAGTTAAATCAGCATAGTGAATACCTGGAATATTGACTGTCGAAGATCTCCTAGAGTTTTTCTTCTGTCAATAGTCAGATCCAGTACACTCTCTTTCCAAGTAAGTGAAGGATGCAAAGCTCCATTGTAAAATTTGTAACACGAGCTCAAATGGAGATGCAAATCAATACCATTGTTTGCTGAGTCACATTCCGCTCTTTGAAAGAAAAACACAATAGTGAAATGCTGAGTTTAATGCTGACAAACTGCTAACTTATTTCAGAGATACATGACAACTGCCAGAAGCAAGTGATAACCTCATGACTAAATTCAGTGTCAGATTCTCTGCTCTATTAAGAAATATGCAGAGGTGCTCAAAAATGCCATATATGAATATATATATATAGTACATACAATACAGAGCAAGCTTAGACATCCTCCACATACAAATAAAACAGTTATAGGGCTTGTTCCTACACCTTACTTCAACTTTTCTAAACAGGACAAAAATGCTATCTTTAGGGATGGGGAGACCATAGCGATTTTTTTTTTTCCCCTCTCCAGACTGTGTTCCAGAAGAGTCCTCTTGAAACAAACACAGAAAAAGAGAAAATTCCTGGAAAACTGCCAGGACAGACACAGCCATGCCTTCCTCCTTTATAACTATATTCGGTTCTATTAGCAAGAAGCTAAGTGACATTTGCTGCTACATTTAAAAATAATTAAGTTTCCACAGCAGAGAAGCATCGCACAAGACATCCATCTCTTGCACAAGTCTACATTTTGACAGCTGAACTGGCATTCAGGCACATCATCAGCTCTGTGTGTTCCTCGCCAGAAGGAAAATTTTCAACCAACCTAGATACCACCAGCTCTTTCTTTCATGTTTCAGGCAAAGGATACCATTTATCTGTTGTTTCACAGGAAAGCAAGCCATTCCCCCTTCTCCCAGAGGAGAACTCCCTCTGGGAGTGTATTTTAGATAACGTATTCCATTCTCCTTCCAGAATTGTACTTTCCCATGAAAAGCTGGTACAATTTGAGGCTGTAAATCAATTTCCTCTGAAATTCTGCAGAATGAGTAGGTAGGCCACTAACAGGGAGGTAGGGGACCAGTAGAAGACAAACTGGATGTACAAATTGTATTCCTTGATTAACCTCTACGGTATTGAGTCATTTTAATGTATCTAATTCTACATCTGTTCAATGACTTTCTTTAATTTTAGATCAATTCCAAGATCTACAGATTAAGAATGCTGTTTAAGAGATTCATACAGTTACATTATATACCTCTATACATTATATCATATACCTCTTCTTTTGCAGCTCAGTATTAGCAGCATTCATTTCATTCAGAAGATGTTCAGGAATTTGGTATCTTGGATTTCCTCGAGCTGTAACAAATAATACAAGCTAGTTTGGCCTCAACTGCTTAAAATGTGCTTTGGTAAACAAGAAAAGTGAGATGAAACATTACTGTAATCATTGAAAATAACATTGCACTTTCTTAATGTAGTAAATTAAATTGCAATGATACAACAGTCAAACAAGCCTTTTTAATTCTTCCATGTTCACATCTATCTTTCCCTAAGGGGAAACAGATACATGAATGCCTTTAGCAACAACTTGTTTAAGTAGAAGATATTCCGCTAGTATTTGTGAAGCATATGAGAAACAAGTTAGTGTCAGCTACAGCCAATTAACCATTCATCAGCTCCTTGGAGCTCTTTCTATCTTGAGTCAAGCCTTTTTTCCAATTAGCACTAGAAAGTTCAGTGAGAACAGAAATGCTCAACTGCCTTCAACCTCCACAAAAAGTGTAAATGAAGGAAACCCCCAGCACATAAAGATGAGTTGTGCGTACCTTCAGGAGGTCTTTTTAGCCGTGACTTTCGATAAAACAGCATGTAGGCACTCTCTTTACCCTGAAATTGTTGCTCAATATCCTCCTCCTTGATCGGCTGGACTTTTGAATCATTCAGATCAAACCAATGGCAACCAACAGAAGTCTCCTCTAGCCTTGTAGGTGTTTTTTCTAAATTCCACTGGATATCATTCTTCTGAGAAGGGCTTTGGAGATCAAGTCCTTGAGAATCTGACTTAAATGGGAGCTTGTATTTTTCCTTCAGACCAACCTTATTTTTGTCAGGACTGAACTGAAATATCTGAGGATGATTTTGCAAATACTAAAATGAAAGCAAGTACAAGAAAGAACATTTTAGTAAAGGAAGATGCTCTGGATTAAATATAGCAGACTACATTAACTACATGACCTGATTTGTCCTCAAATTCATAGACAAACTTTCATTTGTGGAAATCCATTCCAATAAAGACGAAAAAACAAGAAAACAAAGATCTGAATTAGTTTTAGTCATAAAGTCTCATTTGATATATCAAAACATGTAAACCAATTTACAGTTATTTCAGTTCTGCACTGCCCCATGTGGTTTTGAAATAAATTTGGTACTTGTGAAAAGTCACCTTTAGTAACATTCACAATAACACTGAAACTTCAAAATTGTTAATACTGGTTTACCCGGAACTTGTTTCTATCAGTTCTCTGTTAAAGTCAGAAAACCGTCTACCCCTGTGGAAGACCCCTATTCAGATTTTACAACTACTTTTAAATACTGTTTTGAAACCTGCATGGTTGTTCTAACTCAAGAAACAAATATGGATTTTCCATATGTCCATAGCACAAATGCAGAAGTATTTTTCTTAAAGCATAAGAAAATACAGCTACCAACTGGATAAATACAAGACTATTTCAAGGGTTAATTTTACAGACATGCCTTAAACAACTATAAAGTTTTTTTTCCCTAAAAAAAAACAAAACCTTATTTCACTTATTTCTGTTATGACAGAGGTGTAAAGTTGTAATAGGCAAAAAGCTGGTTATTTTCTAGGCCAAAAATATAGATGGAAAAAGATACATGCTTTCAAGCAGATGATACGTTCAGAGAATCTTGCCCCTGTTCCTCATGACTGATGTCTCACTAACCTCTTACACATGCATTACCTTGCTAGTCCAAGTGCCGGCATTTTCATCCACCATCCTATAGATTATTCATTAAGAATATGAAGTTATCTTAATAATCAAAAACTAACATACATACATATTACCTTTCGTAATGCTCCATATTGTTTTCGGTATTTCTTATTCCAGGACACCTTTTTTTTCTCCAGTAACTTCTGCCCTAATTGATCTACAGGTATTTGTTTAGATTCTTCCTAAAGAGAAAATAAAAAGTAGGATGACAGACTGCAAGTGTAAAAGAATCAATACGAAGTAGGTAATTGTGAAGTGATTAAATAATTCCTGCTTGTTAGTAAGCCAATTTAACATTGCTTTCTGTAACAGCTTAAGCAAGCAACTTCAGGAGTACTCCAAAAATGGCTTTTTTGCTATGAATAGTCACTATTTGTATTGAAGTTAGGTTAAGTTACAAGCTTTATGTGCTTCACAATAAGCTCAGAAGAGTTCTATGTTCTAAAGCCTGTCTCTTGCATACTTCACCCCCTCCTTCTGGGTTCCTTAATATCAAAATAGAAGCAATAAACTCTTTACATACCATACCTCTGATAAAATCCCTTTCAACACTGCCAGTGGATTTTCTGCTTCTTTGGCATTTTCATTCTCTCTTAAAGCCTTATCTTCAATTAGCCTATCCTCATCTTCCTGTAGAAGAAAAATAATATTCACAAACACTTACTTCAAACACAGCCAGCAGTCTTCCAGTCAGTACTAACAACAGCATGTGTGATTTGGAAGTGTAAAGGAAACCCTCTGAGTATTTTTGAGCAAGCTGTGCATAGTGTTTTACACAGGATTGTTTCTGCAGCCTCTTTACATAGGCATCTGGATGCCGTACAAAAACATCCAGTTCATCATATGACACACAACACGTGGTAAAGATGCACTCAAAGATTGCTACAACAGAGCTCAAGCAGCTTGCACTCTGACTGGAGTGTATATACACCCACAGTGACTATCTGTGCACATGCCATACAACAGGCAGTAGTAATACAACAGCCCGTTAATGTTCAGCAGGTCAGAAATATAAACTTTGCTCCAAAATCCTGAGAGCTTCCAACTTGAAGAGATAGTATACTGCCAAAAAACTAACCTCAAGGAGGTGAAAGACCAAACGTCTCACTAAAATATTAACTTAGATGTCTGTTTCATTCTCTTAATACTTTTTTTTAGATGTGATAGAGCAAGAAAAAGAAACCTTTAGCACTTACTTGTAATTGCCAGTTTCCTAATTCATCCACATCTTTGATATAAACATGATAGTGTCCTCCATAGCAGCCACCTTTATGTATAATAACAGAGAAGAGCTCATACATGTACTCTGAATCATCCATTTCAGTCTTCAAAAAGAAAAATAATAATAATAAAAAATATCAGCAAGTCTTCCACATAAGGACAGTTTTATACCATCAGCATAGCTTCTGATACTTTTCAATGTGCATTTGCACATGCAAAGACTGAAGGGGCTCTTCAGTGATGGGGAACACTAGCAAGGACCAACATGAAGCATGGACCAAGGCACAGGCTTATAAAGCAACTTTTTAGATGTTATTCTGAACAGTGGTGGAAATTCAAATATTTCAAATTTAAAATAAATAAATACTGATGCAAATAATAGAAGGGCTCAAATTGTTTGTAATAACCACCAGCTTATTTCATATTCATTTAAAAGACTTGAGGAAAAACTTCTAAACTAACTGAAGGCTTCCCCAAATACAACAACAAAAAAAACAGAATGTTTTAAGAAAAATCCCTTCAGTAAGAGCACATCTATTAAGCATATTCTATACATACTTTAGGGATCAAAAGCTGGCATCAGGTAATGATGTAGCTCAGTTTATAACCAACATATACAGATATGAATACAAAGAGGAATTTGTAAGAAAAGTAACTATTGACACAAAATATACATAGCTAAATTCATGTGTGACAACATTGTATATTTGTTAACATATATATCTGTTAATAGGAATTGCCAATACAAAGGTTGATTTAACTTCTTAAGAAAAACACAGATTAAGCTGTAGGTCATTATTAAACCCTTCCACTTTGTATAGCTACAAAGTATTTCTCACTCTTAGAAATTGATCTTTTGGAGACATTTTACAAAAGCATTGGAACTAGGGACATCAGAGAAACCTACAAGGTTTCCTTAACATCTGGCTTTGACAAAATGCAAAATTAAAGATATCTTGTCCTGAGATATTAGTTTTCTGCTGAGTATATAGAAATTTTAACAAATGCAACAGTACAAACCTGCTCACAAAAAGGCCTCAGGTTTATCTGGATAGGGAACGTATAGCAACTAGTTTCCTTGTATCGTTCACACTTCTCAAAGTCAAAGTTAAATCTCAGGAGAGAAATGGTGAGAAAGGGAGGCAACTTACGTAGTTTAGCAGACTGCAAAACAACAAAAAAAGTTATAAGCATATTGTTATACAGAAAAATGCTTCCACCTTGCTATGGTGGAACCTGTATTTTCCAGCAAAACTTTACAAGGAGGCAGACATGGCCAGTGTTTTCATTACTAGAAAATGCCTTCCCTAATTCTCAATTTTCCTGTCAACAAGCTATTCTAGAAAGCAACTAAGATCCTTCACTCCTGTGACACCCTACGCCTTCCCTGATCATCAGTCCCACACTTTATCCTGCTACAAAAATGAAGCAGAACACTGCTGAAATTCAAGTCAGTAGTTTCCATTTCCAAACATCACGTGTTCTTTGTGAGAGGATTTTCACAAATTTCACACTATGAAGCAATTGCTTCAAATCCCTGGGCTTGTGCTCTCCCACGAGGTCAGGCTATGCAGTGTTTTCCCAGCAACTTTGCTCTTGACCCCTTGCACAGTACGCGCCATCACCAGACCCACACAGCTCCCAGGAGCCCAGAGAGAACACGCAGGAACTCAGCTCCCACTTTGCAGGTGCTATAGGAGAGCAAGACCTTCACAATAGCTTTGCTATGCTCTTAACATAAGCATAGATTCGGTGGCCTGTGAGCACTGCCAGTGTCTCTATCCAACTCTCCATTTACACAGCCATAAATGGGTTTATCAGGAGTACATGCGTGGCTCAAGAAAACTAGAATTAGGAATTCCATTTGCATCAATTGTGAAGACTGCTTTGCAGAGGCACAAAGGATTTTGCTCTTCCAAGTTTAGAGTGCTAATCCGACTGTGATTAAAGTTTGATAAAGTTCTTGAACTCGAGATTTTTCAACTACTCTTTTTTTTTTTTTTTTTTTTAGAGGTCAGGACAAAAGAGGGGAGAAAATAACTTCCAAAGACCCGCAAAAAAATGAAGGAAGAGAGGACAGGTATGGATCACCTTGTCTTTGAAACAAGCTAGGTGCATGCAGAGGGTCATGCTGTTAGACAACTGCCTCCCTAGTGCCGGCTACATGACCAAATTTCAGAGGTAGCCAACTGTTACCTTGCACTCCCTTGAACCCAGCAAATTTTAACTGAAACCCTCATAAACAAGCCACATGAGGCACTGGCAAAGTTTCATGAACTCTCCTAAGATACTGATTAACTTCACCTGTCCTGAATTTGCCTCTGCACCTCCTGCCTTCCACATTAGGCATGTTGCAAGGTTTGGATCACACTCATCATGGCACAGAAGAATGTCCAAAGCAGGCCAAAGCGCTTCGCTGTTGTGAAGAGGGCAAAATACATCAAAGGCAGGGTGCACTAACAGGTATGACTGCTTCCCCTTTACAAAAAATACCAGGAATATGAGGAAAAAATGAGCTACTTTAAAAAAAAATCTTTATGACATCAGAAACAAGCACAGAAGAAAGCCAAACACCATTTTGTCCCATCCTGAAGAGACCTACAATTCAAAGACCTACAGCTCTAGAAAAGCACTCACACAACTGCCTTTCCGAGACCCTGGCTAAGAGCACAAACAAGACACAGAAGTCTTAACAAATTTGATTACTCTGATAGGGAAACTACTCTGAATCATAAAACAACAAAACAAGAACTGGTTTTCAGCACAAGGATGCTGTAAGGTACTCCGGCAGACAGAAACCAAGCCTATCATCATCCATACCACCACTTTAGAGCATTCAGGGTCATATAACACTGGTATCCTTCAGAGGAGTTGTGTAACAACTGTCAAGCACCTGAAACTTTCCCAGGGTGCCCAGCAGTGAAGGCAGAAAACCAAGCCAAAGGAAGGAGCTCTCCCATCTGGATGTCGCTACACTCCTAGGGATTGCTCTCAACACAGGCTTAACATGCACAGCTCTCAGCTGAACACTGATGAACTCCAATGACTCAGCAGAGGAAAGGGCTGCACACTGCACTTAGCTTTACAAGCAATTAAAAAAAAAAAAAGCAGCAATAGTAAATCATTAACTAGATAGTGACAAAGCAGCACAACTCAGCAGAAAAACCATCTCCTTCCTCCAAAAGCATCTTTGAGCTACAGCCTGAAGAAGAAGACGCTTTCGCAGTCACTGCTCTGACCACAGGAAGATGACTTTTCGGCTCTGCTACCTGCTTGCTGCCTCGATTTTTATCCTCCTCATTCCTGGCCTCTCCGAAGGAGGCAAACTGCTGGTGGTGCCCATGGATGGAAGCCACTGGCTGAGCATGAAGCAGCTGGTTCTCAAGCTCAAGGAGAGAGGACATGAAGTGGTGGTGCTTATACCAGAAATAAGCTGGCAGATGGGAAAGGGACAGTCATACACTGTGAAACCATACACATCAGAAGACCTGGTTAGTTCCTGTCACAAGTCTGTTGTTACTCACCTGAAGGCTCTAGCACTACACAGCACCACAACAGATGCTTTCAGTATGTTAATGATACATTAACATAATGTATCATAAGCAAGTGTTGCTTATTATCTGCGCTCTTCATGTGAGAATTTCCATGTAGTTTACTTTGTTCTTTTCTATATGGCCTAGCAACCTATTCACCATTGGCCAGATTAAAGCCAGCAACAATACTCAAGTCAAGAAATGAGTCACATACGCTTTTTGATGACGTAGCTGAGCTTTAACATGCAGGTCCGTTTTTGGTATTCTAATCTGGCATTATACAACAAGAAAGGTGCAGATTTTTTATCTGAGGGTTATAGGGTGGACACATGTAAGTGAAGTTTCTAATTGTTAGCAGATCAAATACTGAGTGACCTAATGCATTACCTTTGAAGCTTCAACAAGTTTATCACAGGCTCCGCATCGATACAAGTTCTCATTTTCAAAGTACTCTTCTTCCACATACATGTTCCACAAGGCCTCCTCCAAGCCAGCTACACCTTTTACTGCCACTGTTAGGTCTAAGAAATCTTCCTACGCAGAAATACAACAAAAAAAGACTGTAAGTAGTGTAAATTTACAGTACATTAGAAAGATACTTATCCCATTTGCTGTGGCAGATACGAGCACTTATTTTGCTTTCATCATTGATGGGACAGAACATGCACCTTAGATTTTAATTATTTTTTAATCACAAAGAGCAGTAAAACAATGTAAAGATATGTTTTACTGTTGTTACCCCACTGTTCAGCCCTCTGCTATCTACTACAGGCAACATTTGCAACACAGATCTAATACTGCTTTTTTTTTCTCCTTTTTCCTAGTGAGTCACTTTTTGATGTAGGTAGTTTAGCAAATGCCAGCCAAGACTTAGCAACAAAGTCACGCATAATTTTTGTGTTAGCAAGCCTGCAGTGCCCTAATCAATACACACTACCTAGATTCAAGAAGACTACTAGTGACACTTCAGAGAATTGTCTTTTTTTTTTTTTTTTTGAGTTGGGAAAAAACATTTCAAGCATCTTCAAAGGACTGAACAGAAGCCTATCCTGGGAAATCCTCCAGCTTTACCTGTCTCTCACTGATATTCTTGCATTCTTTACAAACAATCTGGTTGACAACAGTTCCATGGTACAATCGATTAATAAGGTCGTGACCCGAAGTCCCCACAAGAGAAGTCTCCAAAGCACTGAACAGAATCCGATTTAATTCCTGCACATCGTGCTGCCTCATTTCCTGCATGACAAAAAAATAAACTTGAAGAAATAAAAGTGCCATCTGCTATGCTTATTGCTTAAAAAACAACTTCCATTAAGTGTGGCAGAGAGCTGCCTCAATTGTTACCCATGTATTTACTACACCAAAAGAAAATTATTGCTACATTTTTAACTTGTGCTTTTTGTAGAAGCTATAAGTATGTAAAATATACCATACAAAAGACACTTTACCTATGTAGATTTCCACTAAATTCTAAGCAGAGTTACACAGTAACATTTTAGGTAGAAATTTAAGTAAATAAAGGACAAGCAACTTAGTTACTGCTGGAAAAAACATTCCTGTAGAAACAAAGGGAAACAAAGGAAAGCTACTGAAACTGTATCTAATGGAAGAATTTATTCTGTTGCTCACTGAGAAAAATTAAGACATCCTTCCTGTGGAGGTACAATAGTATAAGACAGCTGACCTAATCAACTGCTATCTCCACAGCCTAAAATATTCTAAGAATTTTTTTCCATGTCAGACTTCAGTATCAATGATGGTGACACAGGTGCCCGTTCATACCTCATTGCTGTTCCACCCAAAGCTCTCTGTAAGGTCTGTTGTAGACGCAGCCTGCTGGTCTAAGAGCAGAAGCTGAGCAAATAACCGTTGAAGTTGCAGTGGAATTATTCGAACCTGGAAATATAAAGCAACATATACCCAGCACATCAGAAAGTCTTCAAGCCAATCATTTTGATTTAAAAAGAAAACTAATAAAAGTCTTCTAAGAAGCCACAATTGTCTATGGCTTTTATAAGTCAGGTTACTTGACTCTCACCAAAACATCTGCCAACAGTGGTTACCAAAACTGTACAAGGCCTCACCTTACTCAATACAGGCATGGAACGTAAGGTTTGTGATAAAGCAAAACTGCGCAGGTTAAAATTAAGTCACCACCAAAGTACACAATGACAACTTTATCTCCTATTTTTCATAATCCTAAAACTTAAGAACTTGTTACAAGGCATCAAGACATTGATTTATGAGCTACTCCTTGATCAGTAAAAATAAAAATAAAAATATGGGCAATGAGGTAGAAAGAGAGGGGTTAATGTCAACAAGCTTGATCAGCTGCCTATATTTATCTTTGATTCACAAAGATAAAATGTTTCTAAGCAACCAGCTTCAGTCCAAGAGCTGAAGAATGAAATTCTGTAGTCAGCATTAGTAAGCACTCTTAAAATAAATAATAAATTCCAGTCCCACAACATCTTGTGTATGGGTGGGCTGTTAAACCTTCAGAGCCTCAGTGCAGTCATTTAGTCTGCACACATTTTTAATTGGTGAAAAATAAGTCATAGCATTGTAGCTTTAGTTACAGCATAGAAAGTACAAAAAAAAAAAGTACTGTATAAACTTTGGGATTGTTTCTGCTTTTCCTGAACACAAAAGAATCTCTACCATCAAATTCAGCAGAAGCAAACTCAACATCTTGCTTCTGAAGGAAAAGCTTACAGCACCAGAAGCTTACATCTAGTGTGCAAAAAAGTATCAGCCAACCAAACTGTCTTCCAGTATCATCCTCACAAGAGATTTCAGAATATTGTTTCAATTCACATGAATCAATGCTCAGCGACTAATTACAGGAAAGTTTTAAATACCTTTGCGTCTGGTTTATTGATATCATCCAGAGTTCCAAGCTCTTCAGGTCCTAGAGAGAACAGTGCCTCTGCAATTGTAAAGAAAAATTCCTATTTAAGAATAAATGTCTTCTCTTGAGATGTTTTATCCTAAGTGTCAAGTATCATGTTTTTTCTTTTATCAGATTAAGACATTAAACAACATATCTGAACATCATTCATCATTACAACTGGTTCAAGCTATAAAGTACCCCTAAGCACAGAGGCATTTAAATGGCAAAATATACATTTTTTTCAAGAATTGTAGTGTCTGCATTAAAAATGAATAGCATGTTATGAACAGCAATACCCTCTCTCATCTACACAAGCAGTAAATGGCTACCTCTAAGAAAATATAATACATATATTACTTATATTTTGCGTAGAAGTGGCAATACTAATTTAAGAGATAAAACTGAATATCCTGTAATAACTTATTTAAATTGAAGTGAAATAAACTGTTTGTGAAAACAATCTACGTTTGTGGTGTTTCTTTAACAAATAATTAGAAATGCAAGTCACTGCAAGATATCAATTCCAATGTTACTTTAAGAAGATTTTGAACACAGTACCTCTAAATTCAGGTGTGAAAAGCAGCGTCTGCAGAAGGGAATTGAGGTAGCAGGTCCCACCTTGATTTTTGATACCGCTTAGGTTGGTGAAGTCTCTGGGAGCTGGAGGCTCAGAATCTCTGGGCTTTGATTTCTTCCCTTTTCCGCAATGATTGTTTGAAATAAAGGAAAAATCCTCTTCAAATAAGTCCCCAAACATTGTGAAGACAAAACAGTCCTATTAAAACACAAAATAATCAATTTAACAAAAAATGTAACTGAATCCACCCACTTCAAATCCTCAATGATGAACCTTTCAGTCCCAAATCAAGAAACTGCTTATACTATTTTGTTTCATATTCCGTTCACTTTAAAAAGGGAGCGTCAGATCCATACAGAGATATGCACTAATGTGACAAAAAGGTTCAAGTAAAAGCATTTATCTTCACACATAAAGAAAATACTTCTAACTAAAACGTCTGAAAATACTTCTAACTAAAATCAAACTCATCACATTTTAATTTTGTATCAGCAGGAATATGCATACAAAAAAAAATAAGTCCTTCTCAACACCTGTAATTAACTAGTGTTCCACTTACCTGCAGGAAAGCTTAATAAGGCCCCCCCAAATTTGTCAAAATGCCCAGTGCTGGGTCTCAACAAATCCATCTATGCAAATAGTCTCCTATTATTGGTCAGTTCAGGTGGGAAGAACTTAATAAACCAGTAAATACAGAGCAATATTTTACCAAAACATTTTCTTCACTTCCTAGATATTGAAAGCCAGAAACTCAACGGCAACAAACTGGTGCTTCTTCTTTTTACCAGTCCAGTTCCATAGCCCCGTGATCTTTTAGCACGTACCAAGATTCCCAACTAGCTCCTGTTTCCACCCCATAGTTCCATGTGGTATGTTGTAATACTTGTTTCAGATGTGAATAAACAGTGAGCTATATTGAAGCAGTGAATAATCATTCCTGTGCCTACCTTCACCTTCTTTACCATATTCCACTCAGGTGTCACCTCCAGACAAAAGCCCCTACAGTGACATAATCATTCCTACAACTGAATCTCTCCCCCATCTTCAGTTGATAAGGCCAACTTCCCCTGATGCCTTTACACTTTTTGACATAGGAGGACCACATCTGCATGCAATATTCAAGATGGGTGCAAACCATGGGTTTCTATACCTAAATTACAGTGTGCTATTTTGTTCTTCTTGTACAATGGCTGAGCATTGAGCTGCCTTTAAAGCAGTCTTTATCATCCCAAGTTCTCATCCCTGTACATTCGTTCCAAACCCTGCCACTACACAGTTTCCATAAATACGTGGGTGTACGTGATTGTTGTTTGTCTCTGCCCCACGATATGCATCTCTTTTGACTCACCTACAATCGATGCTGTCAGCTATGTATCGTTCAGCTGTTCAGTAGCTTAAAGACTTGAAAATTTCACTACTAGGACTTGACTATACCACAATATACCTGCCAGCTTCACAAGAAAAATTAACCACCTGACTTCACTGTGGTTCCCTGTCAGTTTATATGCTGAACCCTACAAAACAGGCCCTAGAAAAGGCATGAAATAACAACCCTCACTCCTCTCTATGAGGGTTCATCTTTTGTTTCTTATCATTTAGCTGATTATTTAATCAAGCAATAATGTTCTACTTCTCCTGCATCAGCTAAATTTCTTCAGGAGCCATCAGTGGCAAACCCTGGTGTGCACCTTTGGAAAATCCAGTTGTGGTTTATGGCTTCTCATTCAACCAGCTGCTAGTTCCTCTGATACTGGCCAAAATTCTTTTTATTAAATAGCATTATGCGAAGCATTTTCAGTCCTTCTCACAGCAGGGCACCTTTTAATCAAAAGGCTGTGCTCTGAGCAGCATGGAAACACTCACTGCTTTTCTGTAACGCTTCTTCAGCACTTCACACGATACATACACACTTCAGACCCACCACAGAATAAAACTACGCGGTTGGGTTCGCTAAGAAGGAGCTCTGTTGTGGAAAAAAAACCCTTTTGCTCTCGCCCCAACAGGTTTCTCTGCCCTGAGCACACCTCCAGCACCTGGATCCCACCTCCCACGCTTCGGGACCTAACTGCCGAGCTTCCAGCTCCCTCCAGCCTCTCACCCTTGGCTCGGCCGTGCTGCACGTTACCGTTTAGGCACAGAAACACCCCAAAAATGCTTCTTTTGCCTTACTTTCCTCGCCTCAACGCGGGCTCAGAGCTGCCCCCAGACCCCCAGCCGCCGCCCCTGCCGCCGCCGCCATATTTGTTGGGGCACCGCGCGAGGCACGCCGGGAGGCGCGGCCTCGCCGCGAGGGCTGCTGGGGGTTGTAGTTCCCCGCCCCCCCCATGGCGGCCATGACGGGGTGCCCGCGTTAGTCAGCGGTTACCTTGCACAGCCTTGAACCCGGCAAAGTTTAACTCACAAATAAACCTTCCCCGGATCATTAAGCCAGCCGAGGGTGATAGGGGCGTGCTCTAAATGCTCGGAAGCTCTCCTGAGATACTGATTAACCTGTCCTGAGCTCGCCTCTGCACCCCCTGCAGTTCTCATTAAGCACCCCCTGCTTTCCGTCCTCATTAAGCACCCCTGCCTTCTTTCCTCATTAAGCACCCCCTGCCTTCCCCGTTAAGCGTGTTGCAAAGTTGGGACAACGGTCACCCTGCCATTGAAGGGGCCCGAGAGGAAGCCCAGGCTTCAGGGAGGGCAGGACACCTTTGCTTACATGTACACCTCTCCAGCAAATTTGGGAGTGCCATTACCAAAGCATTTTCAAGAGAAAATGCTGTTTATTAAACTTCTCGTGCTCCACCGGATCACTTTTAAGTGTATTTTGCATAAATGTAGAAGTAGTAACTTGTTCTAGTTATTACTCACCCTTTTTTTTTTCCTTACACTTTTACCTAAATGAAAGGTAAAACTCCCCCAGCTCTAAAGTCCAAAGATTTTGTTTTCTGAAAAGTTACCAAGTGCCTAAAAGAAAAATGCTTTCTGCCACTTGCTCTGTAGCTTCGCTACCCAAGGAAAAAAATCCAGATGTTGGTAAAGTTGGAAAAGAAAGTAAAAAGACTGACAAGAAAACCATGCAGAAAGCTCTACGCAATTAACATCATTGCATTAACAGTGGTGTGGAAGGGAGAGAAATACTGCCTCTGCGTCTCAGTTGTGTTTCTAAGAGGACCAAAGGGAATGACAGGGATGCTTCAGCCTGGGTGTCACAAAAAGGTTCTGGACCCAGAGAGTGGTCAGGCACTGGGACAGCTCTCAATTTGGACAACGATCTCAGACATAGGGTCTGATTTTTGGGTGGTGGGGTGTGGAGCCAGGAGTTGGACTTGATGATCCTTGCGGGTCCCTTCAAACACAGGATATTCTATGGACCTGTGGTTCTAAATATCCTATGTTTCATTATTTTTCCACGTCACAGTGCCATTTAGGCATCTAATTGTTTAGGTGCTTGATAGCTCCAAATCTCTGCTTCAGATGCCAGGTCAGCCCTTCTCAACGTCTCTTGGTGTTACTGTATGCCATAGGAGGGATGCTCCGTTTCCTGCTAGCTGAAAAATTGTGGTTCATCTGCCCTTTCCTCTTATCCTGAGGTTCTCCTGTTCTGTCTTCAAATAAATTCTGTGAACATCTGTGACTCCAACTGTGATGAAATGTGTTGAAGCTGTTTTCATTTGTTACTGTGTTATTGGAGTTGTTCTCACCAGACTCGCCTTCCTTGGCCCTGTCTAAGTGGTAAGACAAGACACAAGAGTGATAAAGAGGGAAGTCTTAAGAAATCTGATTAGGATGTCGAGGAGCTAGTTCTCTATTAAATGCTGAAGAACTCCAATGACTCAGCATGGGAAAGGGTCACTCACTACATTTGGCTTTACAAGCAATTAAAGGAAAAAAAAAAAAAAAAAAAAAAAAAGGCAACAACAGTTCTCATCCATAGCTGAGCCCAGATCAAAGCAGTAAATCATTAACTAGAAGATAATGACAAAGCAGCACAACTCAGCAGATAAATCCATCCGCTTCCTCCAAAAGCATCTTCGAGCTACAGCCTGAAGAAGAAGACGCTTTTGCAGTCACTGCTCTGACCACGGGAAGATGACTTTTCGGCTCTGCTACCTGCTTGCTGCCTCGATTTTTATCCTCCTCATTCCTGGCCTCTCCGAAGGAGGCAAACTGCTGGTGGTACCCATGGATGGAAGCCACTGGCTGAGCATGAAGCAGCTAGTTCTCAAGCTCATGGACAGAGGACATGAAGTGGTGGTGCTTATACCAGAAATAAGCTGGCAGATGGGAAAGGGACAATCATACACTGTGAAAACATACCCAGTGGATTACACATTAGAAGACCTGGATAAGTTCTTTGCAGAGTATTTATCTGTTCACCTGAGTAACCAGCCTTTCCCAATGAATGTTCTGACACTCTACAACGTCTCAAAACGCACTTTTGGATTGTTCCTTAATCAGTGCAAGAACATTTTCAGAAGCACAGAAATAATGCAGTACTTGAATCAAAGTGACTTTGATGCTCTCCTAACAGACCCCATTGCTTTGTGTGGAGCAACACTTGCTAATTACCTTTCTCTTCCGTTTGTGTTCTTCATGAGAGGATTTCCTTGCAGTCTACACTATGATGCACCACAGTGCCCAAGCCCTCTGTCGTATGTCCCAAGACTGTTTACATTCAACTCAGACAACATGACCTTTTTCCAGAGAGTGGAAAATGCATTGATTGCACTCCTGGAGCTTGTGTACTGTGATGCTTTCTATGAAGAAGGATTAAAGCTTTCCTCTGAAATTCTTCAAAGAGACGTATCCCTATTAGACCTGCTGAACGGTGCTTCCATTTGGCTACTGAGATACGACTTTGTGTTTGAGTATGTCAGACCGGTGATGCCCAATATGGTCTTCATTGGAGGTGTAAACTGTGCTCCGGGCAAACCACTGCCTAAGGTATGTTCTTTTTCTTCAAATCATACATTTTCCAAAGAAATGTAATCACATGGCTTATGGGCTTTTGTGCTCTTGAATTTATTTATTTGTTTGTTTGTTTGTTTGTTTATTTTATATATTTATTTATCTGGTAGTGATTTCATACATCTGGTTTCTGGCAGTTGCTTTCCATGGGCTGAAATGGCTTTATCCTGATGGAGGCAGATGACTGTTATTTGAATTAGTAAAGATTTTCTGACAAGTCCAACAAAAAATGGACTTCATCAGCCAGCTACTGTCCTCAGTGAATATTTATTTTATTCTTCAGTCTGATGCAATTTTGGTTTCACTTTCATGAATTCTGGCATATATTTCTTTTGTCTGATGAAAACTCCAAAGACCACGCGTTGAGAGTCTTTTGTTGTTCCTGTTGTCATTAATTCTAGGCTCAGCAAAGTCAGTTAACTTGCTTTGGTTGTATTTTCATAACATACGGTTTCCTAGGTGGCAGTCTATGTTATTTCTGTTTGTAGATCATGGTGAAACATAAATCTCAAGCTGAAACTGAAAGAATTATTCTAAAATAGCTGATTTTGTGAAACACAAACGCAAAATCAGACATTTTTATTAAGTGTTTCTTGACATTTATAAGAACTGTTCTGTGGGATTTGTAAAGCTAATCTAGAAAGTTAAAAACAATTAATAGCACCAGACATTTCTTTCCAGGCACATATTACATTCCTGTGAAATTACTTCCTCACTTCTGAATTGTGGTCACACAATATCACTACATGATTGCACTACAGTATCTTTGAGTTGATTTTTTTCTCTTTTTTTCCTTCTTTTATATTCTCTGATGGCTTACACAGACTCCCCCGAACCGCTCCTAGGCAAATAAAAAATAAGCTGACTGCATACATTCTCTAGTATTAAACTCGAGGGAGTGGCACTTAGTAGTTTTAGATTTAAGAGGTACCATGGCACGTTCTTTCTGATTGCATGACATTAGTCTTCTATTTGTTTTTATAACCTGAAGGTCTCAGAGCTGTAAACACGTTGTAGCTTGCTGCTTTCCAAAGGGGTAGAACCACCCTGGCTTTATTTTATACCTGCCGTCTCCTGTCCTCATACTGATGTTTGTTATTGAGTGGAAATCATATGTTCTGCATCTTCAAAAACCTTGTGTATTCCTCCTAACTTCACTCTGGCTTTTCTGCCTACATTTCTACAGAGAACAGAAGAATCGCTCCTATTTCACTTGGAACTGCGCAGCAGCAAGGCCATAAAGTAGGGAAGTGTAAATATGCAAAGGGAGTCACATGGGTGAAAAAAGTCTGCCTATCCATACACAGTTGTAAACTCTAGGTTAATCATCTTTGTTCATAAATATAGTCGTGATAAAAATAGGTGGCTCTCTGAAACCTGGTATCCCATTGCTCAACAGATAGGAAAACAAAAGGTTAGAATGACTAGGAAAGAAAGGGAAAAAAAAAGAAAAGAGAAAAGCTCTCCGAGCTACTCAATAAGTCCATGGCATACTTTCATTCTGAATATTGTCTGACTTCTCATCTCAGAGGAAATATGGTAGAACAGCAAAAGTACAGAAGAAGGTGAGAGGGCTGGTAAAAGGTTTGAGCAAGATCTATTTTGTGATCGAAAAAAACAGATCTACAGAACAAAGGTCTCAGAAATTGTGAATGACATGGGCAAGATGTGTGAAGAATGATTGTTCTGTTTCCTGACAGGCAATAACTACGGGATGCTTGGAAAAATCAGGTATTGATTTAATGGCTTCAGAGCAAAGACAGGAAGGTGATTTTTCCTCTCATGTATTTCTCCCAAACTTTGAAATGCCTTGACAATGGCCATTATAGATGGGAAAAAAAAGTTACAGGAGTTCAACAAGGGAATAGACAAGTTCATGAAACAAACAAACAAAAAACCACACCATAGAGATATGTAATATAAAGATGGAAACAAAGACAATATAAACAATATTCAATGTCAGCAATACAGTTTGTTTCAAGAGCTCCCTGAGCCACTTATTGCTGGTGGCTGCGAGGCTGCTCTGCATGCAGGTTATCGCTGCTTTCTTACAGCATTCCTCAGCATTACTTGATGTCCGGTGTAAGGATGACAATTCATTTTG